AGCGGCGCCCAGTAGGGGCCCCAGGAGAGGTGAGTCCAAGGCTTCAGGCAGCCACTGCTGGGCCAGTCAGGCTGGGCTTCCTCTTCCCCGGGGAAGGCCACCTGCAGGCCGTGGAGCACAGGCTGTTCTCTTCTGGACAGACCAGAACAGAGCCAGGAGTGTCACCAGATATATTCTGATGCCACACACCCCCAACCCTTAGAGTCTTCCCCAAGGCACCGCACCCTCAGGGCCCTGCACTGAACCGTCCAGCCTGTTTGGCCAAATGTCATTGGGCAGTGCCCCCCAACCACTACTCGGGCGGACCCCAAAGGGAAAGTGGGAGCAGAGCCCACCCTGAGCCCAGCCCTGCCCCACAGCTGCCCGAGGGCGGCAGCCGTGCCGAGCGCACGGGCCTGCAGAACATGGAGCTGGCGCCTGTGCAGCGCAAGATCGAGGCCCGCTCGGCTGAGGACTCCTTCACCGGCTTTGTCCGCACCCTCTACTTTGCCGACACCTACCTGAGGGACAGTGAGTGGCCAGATGCGGGGAGGGGTGGGGGCTGTCAGCAAGTACCCCAGCTCCAAGCCCGTGGCCTGTCCTTGGCTGCTGCCCTCTGTGGGGGGGGGCGGGGGGAGTCATGCGTCTGCAGGGCCACTGCTGGGTGCTGGTGAAGTTCCTTCTCCGCCCCTCGGCCAGGGTGGGGGTGCAGCAGCTTGCCCCTGTGTCGGGAGGACCGAGCTGACCTGGGCTTGGGGCTCAGAGAGCTTCTCCAGCTACACCCAAGCAGTGGACAGCTCCGTCTCAGAGGGGAAAACTGAGGCTGGCAGGGCGGGGCTTGGGGAAGGGGAGAGTAAGCCCAGGCTCCTTACCTCCAGCTTTTGCCTCCTGACAGGCTCCCGCCACTGCCCGTCGCTGTGGGCCGGCACCAACGGGGGCACCATTTATGCCTTCTCCCTGCGTGTGCCCCCCGCCGAGCGCAGGATGGACGAGCCAGTGCGGGCAGAGCAGGGTGAGAGCCGGGGCGCATGTGGGCAGAGCTAGCTGAGAGCGGGCTGGCCACCGTTTGGGGTTTGAGCCAGCCCTGGGGGGTGTTGGCAGGGAGAGTAGGCTGGCCGCCAGGTGGGTTCTGAGCCTCCCCTGCTCCCCCTCCCACAGCCAAGGAGATCCAGCTCATGCACCGCGCGCCCGTGGTGGGCATCCTGGTCCTGGACGGGCGCAGCGTGCCCCTGCCCGAGCCCCTGGAAGTGGCCCATGACCTGTCGAAGAGCCCTGACATGCAGGGAGGTCACCAGCTCCTGGTGGTGTCTGAGGAGCAGTTCAAGGTGTCACACGGGAGCAGGGGGTGTCACCCGGGGTGGGAGGGACAGGAAATGCAGGCGTGGGGGGCTCCGGGCTCATCCCCCCCACACCACGTAGTCCCCAAGTGCTGCCACACATGATTCAAAACCCAAAAGGCGGGCAATGGGCCGTGGGAAGCCCCGTGCGGCTGCCGCCGCTGACTGCTACCCGCTGTGGTCGAAGGTGTTCACGCTGCCCAAGGTGAGCGCGAAGCTGAAGCTGAAGCTCACGGCCCTGGAGGGCTCCCGCGTGCGGCGCGTGAGCGCGGCCCACTTCGGCAGCTGGCGCACACAGGACTATGGCGAGCACCACCTGGCCGTCCTCACCAACCTGGGCGACGTGCAGGTGATCTCACTGCCCCTGCTCAGGCCGCAGGTGCGCTACAGCTGCATCCGCCGGGAGGATGTCAGCGGCATCGCCTCCTGCGTCTTCACCAAATACGGCCAAGGTGGGCCAAGGCAGGCGGCAGGGGTGAGGGGTAAGGGCGCCCGGCCCGGCCCCACCTCACCCACCTGACCCGGCTCCGCAGGTTTCTACCTCATCTCGCCCTCGGAGTTTGAGCGCTTCTCCCTTTCCACCAAGTGGCTGGTTGAGCCCCGGTGCCTGGTGGAGCCGGCAGAGAGCAAGAATCCAGGCCGCCCCCGCAACGCCACAGGCCCCACCAAGGCCTCGGGCCCCGCCAGGTGGGTGGTGTGGGGAACCCAGCCCCAGCCCCTCATTGCGGCAACCCCACTCCCTGCCCCTGTTAGCTCCGCTCCTGGGATCCTGAGGTCTCCTGACCCAGCCTCGTTGTCCCTTTCCCCCACAGGAACCCAGGGAGCCAGAGTGACTGTGACGGTAAGCCAGGCTGCCCTGTGGCTATGGCCGGGGGGTGGGCCCGGAGGTGCTGTGATGGGACCTGGGGTAGCAGGGAGGAGGAAGAGGGGCCTCCTGGAGTTGGGGGGAGCCCCTGGCCCTCAGTAGCTCGCTTTCTACCTTCCAGCACGACGGCCGGGCCCCACCATGGAGTGTGCCCTGCTCAGTGATGAGAGTGAGTGGGGGGCGCTGGGCCGTCCCACGGGGCGGGGGGACTCTGTGCGCCTGCCCGCCCTGGGGCTCAGCTCAGTTCTGTCCTGCACAGGGGTCCTGAAGGAGATCCAGAGCACACTGGAGGGAGACCGGGGGTGAGTCCCTGCCCTGACCCGTGGGGGCTGGAGCGTTGGGAGCGAAGGGGCCCTGCCTGACGCCCGGCTCTGCCCGCACAGGAGTTGCGGTGACTGGCGCGCTCAGAGGATCGCCGTGGGGTACCGCCTCAGCAACGGGGGAGGTAGGAGAGGGGGGTGCCGGGAGGGGCGGGGGGAGCCGAGACCCCTGCCCTGCGTGCTCCTGAGCTCTCATTCCTCCACAGCTGAGTGAGCGGACGCGGCGCTCTGCACTCACACTACTGGCCTGCTCTGGGCACGGCCCCACAGTGCCCCCCGACGGCCCAGGCCCCACCCGGACCTCCACGCTCTGGGCCGTGCCAGGGCCTGGGGGCCCCCCGGTTTGCACCCTGCTGCTACACCTGGCCATGGGGAGGAAGGAGGGACCCCAGGCCCCGTCCATCCTCTCCGCGTCAATGTTGCACACTTTTTAACCCCATCCCCCCTTTTGTAGCGGGCTGGACTTTAAATTATAAACTGTAACTGCCTCTGGGTGGAAGAGTTTTTAATAAATACCTTATTACCTCTGCTGGCTCACTCCTTCCTGACCTGGTGCTGGCCCACGGTGCCACCTCTCCAGAGTCACGCCCGGGCTGGGACCCCGCAGCTGTGCCCAGGCCACCCAAGAGGTGCTGGGGTGGAACCTTGGGCTCTCGGTGCACAATGCCCGAGCACCCTGCCCAAGTCAAGCTGGGGAGCGCAGCTAGTCACTCCCAAGACAGTTCCAAGGCCATGCTGCCCTTCCCCACTCTTCTACTCCCTCCTCCTCCCTCTCCCTCTTTCCCTCCTCCTCCCCCTCTCCTCTGCTTCCCTCCTTCCCCTCCTCCTCCCTTTTCGAGACTCCCCCTTGGGACCTCTGTGGCCATGAGGGGGAGGGATGTGGACTGAACCCCAGGAGCCCCCTCCTGTCTTAGTGGAGCACTTACTCTGCCAGGGTGACAGCGCGGTCCCAGCGCATCCGGGGCCCCCCAGGGCTCCCCATTCTGACAAGGGTCTGCAGAGGAGCCAATGCAAGGTCCTGAGAACCGAGCCTGGAGAGCTGGCTGAAAGCCAGCCAGCCTAGCCCGGATGCAGGGGATGCAGCGGCAGGAGCTGCCCAGCAGCCAGAGGCCATGGGGACATGGCCTAGTGGGGAGCAGAGTGGGTGGGCGGGAAGCGTGCTCAGAAGGAGGCCCCTGAGGCAGGGAGTGGCCTGTGCCAGGGACAGGGGGGTCTGCACACACCCCTCTGAGCTCTGCCACGTGGTGGAAGGACCTTAACTTAAATCCCCAGCCCCCGAAGTTCCATTTTAGAGGGGCCTGAGAGATTGATAACATAGTGGGTAAGGCACTTGCCTTGCACATAGCCAACCAGGTGGATTCCCGGTACCTTATATGGTCCTCCGAGCACTGCCAGGAGGAACCCCTGAGCATCGCCAGGTGTGACCCCAAAACAAAAAGGTTTCCTCCTAGAACTGAGCAGGATGGTGGTGTGGTGAGAATACAGCTCCCGGCCTATTCTCTGGCACTTAGATTGTTTTCCCGTGTCTCTGGGGTGGGGGGAGTGTCGCAGCTGGGCTAGTGCTGATGGTGCCAGGGATCAAACTCAAGGCCCAGAGTACGCAAGGCAGGAACTCTGCCACTGTCTTGCAGAAGATAAGCAGTACAGACGCGGTTTTTAAAATGGACTGGATAGTACAATGGGTATGGCACTTGGAGGCAGCTGACCTAGGTTCTATGCGAGAACTGCCCGTTTCCTGAGTTGCACAGTGACAGATGTGACCGGCTAGGTACACCACTGCTTCCTTCTTGGCAAACTGGGCAAGAAGCCTGGGCAGCCCACAGCGCAAAGCAGACCTCTGTCAGTGAATGGGTCAGTACAGTCCTTGGCGGGCCTTCCACCAGGGTCTGCAGCCAGCTCCAGGGGTACACAGAGGAGCTGCTGATGGACTGTGGGCATGCCTCCCAAGCAGAGAGCCCATCTGGAATGTTCCCTGGCCTGGTGTGGCTCTAGGGGGGGTTGGAGGTGCTACTGGTTAGGACAGACCTGAGTCAGTGGTCAGCAGACTCAGGATTCCTGATGGGGAGCTCAGGCCCCAGCTGCTACCTCCTTGGGAACTCCTGAGCCTACTCCCCAAAATGTCCCAGAGGCCTTCAGGTGGGTCCAGGGGTCAGTCCTGCCCTAGGTTCTCTACATACTATACCCAGGACAGCCCTGGGGATGGTTCTAGAAGACTGCACCCCCCCACCCCCAGCACCCAGGATCAGTTCAGCCCTGGCACTGCCTGCCCTACCAGGAACGGTGAGGCTTGGTGCCCTGTTGCCCTGCCCACCACCTATGCCTACTGGGGCCGGCTCCTCTTTCCCTGGCTGCCTGGCTCCTTTGTTGCCTGGGGGTCAGGACCCAACGCATCTGCATTATTGATGCCTTCCTGGGGGCACCCCGGGCACAGCAGAACTAGTGCTAGGGCTGCCAGAGGCGGGCAGGGGCGCGCTGAGCCCCTCTTCTCCAGAGTCCAGCATGGGCCGGCGCAAGGCCAAAGCGGTGCAGCGTCCAGAGCGACCCCGGAGGCCCCCCTCCCGGGAGCCCGAGTCCAGCTCGGCCAGCGCAGACCGCGCGCCTCGCGGACAACACCCCCAGGGGCGACGGAAGGCCCGCGCGCGCGGATCCAGCTCGGAGCCGGGCCCGGCTGGGGGCCCAGAGACCCCTGAGAGTCGCAGGAAGCCCCCGGCAGAGGGGAGCGGGAGCGGCGGCTGCTCCCCTCTGCCCAACGCCCCGCAGGGAAGTGGCAGCGCCCGGCGCCGGAGCGGCGGGTCCAGGGCGAGCGCGGAGCCTGGAGAGCGCCAGGGGGCGCGCCTGGAGGAGGGCGAACCCCGCGAAGGGCGGACAAGAGGGCGCGAGCGCCCACGGCGGAGAGGGAAAGACCGGGGCCCCTCCGGCCCGCGCGGCCGCCGCGAACCCCGGCGCAGCCTGGACGAGGACACGTCGTCGGGCCGGGACGCGGGCTGCTCCTGCGCGGACAGCGAAGCCCGCCGGGCCCGGGAGCGGGGAGGGCGCGGCGGCGGGTCCGGGCAAACAGACGCCGGCGCGGGGGATTCCGAAACCCGGCCTGAGTCGGCGTTAGAACCGGGAGCACGGCTGGGCGGCGGCGGCCGGACAGCGCCGTCCGGGCCCCAGCGCGTGACCCAGGGTGCAGACGCGGACTCGAGTCCAGAGGGGCCCGGGCCTGGCCGAGAAGCCGAGGCCGACGTGGCCGCCTCCGGGGACGTGGGGTCGAGCCAGGGCATGAGCGAGAACGGGGCGCAATGGGACGCGAAGTCGCGGGGAGCCCGGGCGGGAGACGCCGAGGTCCCGGTCGCCCGGGCAGGGCGCCGCCAGGTGGGAGAGGCGGTGGGGGTGGTGCAGGTGGCAGCTGCCGAGTGCCAAGCGGAGGCGGCAGGGGACGGCCAGCAGGGTGGCCCCGCGCCGCTGGCCGCCCTCGTGGCGCTCCGCAGGCTCCGCGCGAGGCCCCCGTTGGGCCCGGCTCCCCAGACCTCGTGTCCCCGGCGCACGGGCCTCAAGGAGCGGCTGGTGCGCGTAGCCCGCGCTCTGGGCCTCCTGCGGTGGCTGCTGCGGCAGCTCGCGAGGCCCGCGGGCGGCGGGGGCGGGGCGGGGCCGAGGGCAGGGCCGGGGCGGGGCTTCGATCAGGATCGGGGCGGGGCCTCTGGTCTGGGGGCGGGGCTTCAAGTAGGTGCCGGGCGGGGCCTCGAGCAGGACATAGGCGGGGCCCCGGGTCTAGGGGCAGCGACTCGGTTAGGAGTTAAGCAGGACGAGAGCGGAGCCTCTGGCAAGGGGCCAGGGCCGTGGGCGGGCATGGGGTGGAACCGAGAGCAGAACGGAGGCGGGGCCGCTGACCTGGGGGCGGGGCCTCGGGCAGGCTCGGGGCGGAGCCGAGAGCAGGACGGGGGCGGGGTCTCTGATATGGGGGCGGGGCTTCGGGCAGGCTCCGGGGAGGGCCTAGAGCAGGACAGGGGCGGAGCCGCTGACATGGGGGCGAGTCCGGGGGCGGACTCGGGGCGGGGCCGAGATCAGGACGGGGGCGGGGTCGCTGGCCTGGGGGCGGGGCCGAAGGCAGGCGCGGGGAGGGCCCTAGAGCGGGGCGGGGGCGGGGCCTCAGGCAGGGAGGTGGGCCCTCTGGTCGGGGGGCGGGGCCTCGGGGCTGGGCCGCGGCGGCGTCTGGCGTTGCGCCTGGCTGGCCTGGCGGGGCTGGGGGCGCGGCCGCGGGAAACCCCTGTCTGCGGCCCGAGCTCTTCGCAGGCCGCCCAGAGCCCGGTCCCCGACGGCGCCGAGCGCACGCCGGATCCCAAGTTCGCGGCGGTGTTCCCCAGCGTCCAGGGGGCGGGGAGGGCGTCGAGCAAGCCGAGGTGCACGGAGGGGCCGTTCCCAAACGCACCCGCGGGGGAGGGGACCGGTGCGGGGTCTTCAGGGGACCAGGAGAGAAGCGGGGCAGGAGAAGAAGGGGTGGCCCCACCGTGCCCCGACGAGTCCCCGCTGGACGCCAGCGGCTCCGGCAGCGAAGCGGGGCGCGAGCCCGTGGTGGGGGCGACCCCGGTGCACTGGGCGGATGGCGCGGACCCCCGCGAGGACCCGGCGCTGGACCCCGACGCGCTGCTGCCCCGCTTGGCCCTGGAGACCCGCCAGCGGCGGAGGGGGCGCCCGGGTCCCCGCTGGGAGCCGGAGGACGAGGCCGAGGAGGCGCTGGAGCGGGACCTGGAGCGCAGCCTCGGGCCCGACCCCCGCATAAGTCTCGCCGACGGCCTGGAGGACACCGACGACCTGGCCCGGCTGCAGTGAGCGGGGACCCGCACCCCCGGGGGGCCGGGCGGCCGGCAGGGGGGCGCGCTCACCCACCGTGTCCCCGCAGGCCCGTGTGCGACAGCTCCGTGCTGCTGTGCCTCAAGAAGCGGTTCCACCTGGGCCGGATCTACGTAAGGAGCCCCTGGGGGCCTCTCCCTTGGGGACTCCTCCCACACTCCTGGCCTCTGCCTCTGACTTTCCTGGGGGACCTGCCCAGTGCATATGCCCCATCTCTACTCTTCCCCTTCTCGTGTTTATTTACTCCCCTTCTTGTATGTCCATTACATTTTTTTCTTCTCTTTCTTTTTTTTGGGGGGAGGGCTGTTTGGGGCCACACCCGGCAGTGCTCAGGGCTTACTCCTGGCTCTGTGCTCAGGGATCACTCCTGGTGTGCTCAGGGAACCATATGGGTGCCGGGCATGGAACCATGGTCAGCCACATACAAGGCAGAGGCCCTACCTGCTGCTCTGCCTCTCAGATCTCTAAACTGTGTTTCTCTTTTGTTTTCTCTTTATTTTCAGTTTTCTCTTTTTTGTCTCAGTGTTTGTCCTCTTTCTCACAATTTCATCTCTTGGGGGGTTGGTGTCCATTAGTTTTGGAAGTTATTTTTGTTTCCTTATCTTTCTTTTGCATTTTATGGGTTTTTTGGGGGGGAGGGTGCACACACAGCAATGCTCAGGGTTTGACCCTGAACCCCTCCCCTCAGGGACCGGGTGGGGTTCAGGGTGCAGGAACCCAGGAGTCTATGGCTCAGCCATATACAAGGCCTGGCCCTCCCCACTGTACTTTTGCTCCCGTCTTCATTTTATGTTTTTTTTTTTAAATTAATCTTTGTATTGTTTTCCGCCAAGTTCTGACAAGCACCTTCACTTTCTCCCCCAGACCTTTGGGGGACCCCTCCTGCTGGCTTTGAACCCCCTACGGCCCCTGTCTCTCTTCTCGTCTGAAGTCCTGGCCAGCTACCGCCCCGGAAAGGCCCCCAACCCGGCCCCGTAAGTGACCGCAGCACGACTGAGGTTCCAGGCCTGCGGGCCCCATCTCCCGCTCCAAGGAGGGCGGGCCTGGATGCTCCTGGCCACCTGCTCAGCCCCCACTTTGCCCACAGACACATCTTTGGCGTCGCGGCCTCTGCCTACAGCCTGGCACAGGACACCGGGCAGGATGTGTGCGTCTTGCTCGGGTGAGTGATGCCCACCAGGAGGCAGGGAGATGTGGGCCCAGGAAGGGCTGAGGCCACCACTTGTGCCCTGGGATGAGGCCTTGGTGTGTGTCCCTGGGACTGCCCATTTCCGGTTGGTTTCACTTCCGGGTGAGCACCGCCCGCTTCCTGGGCTCCATCCCGGTGCCCCCCTCTACCCCCTGCAGTGGGCACAGCGGCTCCGGAAAGACGGAAGCTGCCAGCAAGCTGGTGGGGTTCCTGAGCAGCCTGCAGCAGGAGTGTCCAAGGGACCCAGGGTGCCAGGTGAGGGGTGGTGGCACAGCGTCCTGCTCCTCGGGCCAAGAGGAGGCCATGGTCAGGGGAGCCCAGGCCCTGCTGGCTCTGCAGGCACATTCAGGAGCTGCGGTGTGGCGACCCCCCGGAGCCCACCAGATCCTGATGTCCCCCTCCCCTAACAGCTGGCCCATGTGTTGCCGATTCTCAACAGCTTTGGCCATGCCAAAACGGTCCTTAATGCCAACTCCAGCCGCTTCGGCCAGGCCTTTCGCCTCTGCCTACAACAGTGCGTGACGGGCTGGGTTGGGGTTGCGGGGGCTCCCGGATAACCACCTGGTGGGAACCCGAGGCTGCCCAGGGGTGCCTTCTTGGGGACAGGGACTCTGGGTCCCTGCGCCCCAGGGCTCCCCGATTTCCTGTGCCTACAGGAGGGCTGTTGTAGGGGCATCTGTGTCACACTACCTGCTGGAGACCTCCAGAGTGGCCTTCCAGGTCAGCCCTGCCCTGCTGCCGCTGTGGGGACGGGAGTAGCCCCAGCCCCAAAGCCTCATTCTCCCCCCCCCACACACACACACACCCTGTAGGCCTTGCTCTTGCCCCTGACAAGGCCAGGCCGGGTCCCTGCTCCCCTCGGCCCCTCCTTCCCCCAGGCCCAGGCTGAGAGGAATTTCCACGTCTTCTATGAAGTGCTGGCAGGGCTGGACCCGGTGACCCGGGAGGAACTGTCCCTGCAGGGTCCGGAGACCTATCACTACCTCAACCAGGTAGGTGCTGGGCGCCTGCCACCGTGGATGCAGGCCCAGCTGGACCCGGCCTCTCACCCCACTACCGTGTGCAGGGTCGGGCATGCTGGCTGGAGGGCAAGAGGGATGCCCAGGACTTCGTGGGGCTGGTGCGGGCGCTGCAGGCGCTGGGCGTGAACCCTGAGGAGCTGAGCACAGTCTGGGCCGTGCTGGCCGCCATCCTGCACCTGGGAAACATCTGCTTCTCCTCCTCAGAGGTGGGCCCAGGGCCGAGGAGGGTGTGGGCTGGGCCTCCCCGTGACAGTGCCGAGGCTGTGCTCAGAGTCCCCGTGGCCTGCGAAGGCCCATTTGACAGATGGGAAAGCAGAGGCCTGCATCCTCACGGCTGCCAAAGCCTGACCTAGTAGAGTGCATCCTGCACTCTTTCTTTCATTTTTTTCCTTTGGCTTTTTGGACCACACCTAGTGATGCTCAGGGGTTACGCCTGGCTCTGCACTCAGGAATTACTCCTAGCAGTGCTCGGGAAACCCTACGAGATGCCGGGGATTGAACCCGGGTCAACCGCGTGTGAGGCTGGCACCCTGCCTGCTGTCCTCTCTCAGCCGGCTCCTCACACTCCTCAGGGGTTGTCGCCTTGATCATGGACCCACTGATGGGTTCCGAGCAACCGCACAGCGGGGAGGGCACTTGCCCCAGGCGTCACAGCTGCCCCCTCTCTCTGCGGCTCTCTGGGGACCCCAGCAGCGCCCTGCATGTCCCTCCTCCTCCTCTGTCCAGCGGGAGTCGCAGGAAGTGGCGTTCGTGTCCAGCTGGGCCGAGATCCACACGGCAGCCGGCCTGCTGCAGGTGCCGCCCGAGCGCCTGGAGGACGCGGTCACCAGGAAGGCCGCGGTGAGCCCAGGGCGCCCCGGGGGAGGGGGGCCACCTTGGGGAGGACCTGTGTGTACCCCAGCCTCCTCTCCCTCCAGGACACGCCCTACGGCCGGGCCTCCCGCCCCCTGCCCGTGGAAAGTGCCCTGGACGCCAGGTGCTGCTGGGCGGGGCCCCCCCCTCGGCAGTGGCCGGCACGTGACTCACAGTGCCCGCCCGTCCATAGGGACGCCCTGGCCATGGCCCTGTACTCGCGGCTGTTCTCCTGGCTCCTGCAGAGAACCAACGCGCGGCTGGCACCGCCCACCAACGCGGGCACCACGGACACGGTCACGGTCGCTGTTGTGGATGTTTATGGCTTCGAGGTCACCCCTCATGGGTTTCAGGGGACCCTGCCACTTCCGGGTGGGCTGCAGGGGGCCCGCACCTCCGTCGCTGGCACCTGGGCGGGGTGTCCTCCCGCTTCCTCTGAGTGCAGGTCCTGCCACTCAGCTGCTGTGTGACCCTGGGAGACACCCTCGTGTCTCTGATCCCAGCTGGATCAGAGTAGAGTCGACCTCGCTGGCCAGGGGGCTCCAGTGGGCTGCAGGGGGCCAGGAGACGGCACGCAGGACTGGCGCTTTGTACGCTGGGGTGTGTGTTCAGTCCCCTGAGCACCGAGCTAGGAGTCACCCCGATCACCACAGCCATGGCCTCCAGAACACAGGAAAAGGGGCAGATAACCCGTGACAGAGCTTAGCCCTGAGGACTCGGTAGCCCAATGTTGAGCTCTTAGGCTTTTCATGATCTCTTTCCAGAAGGTTCTGCACCCCTGGGGTGGGGGTTCCATGCAGGGCCCGGCTCTGGCCTGCTGCTCTGTACGGCCTCTGTGCACGCACACACTCATGCACGTATCTCATGCGGGTCCCACCCTCCACCCAGCGCCTGCTGTGGGGCGCTGCGGGGTGTGTGAGGACAGTGCTGGACTGGGAGGGGCTGCAGACACAGCAGGAGGAATGCTGGAAGGCTTCTTGGAGGTGGCAGCTGGAGCCCAGCCTTGAGGATGGGGGATTCTGGGATCTGGTCAGCTGGGTCCTCGCTAGAGCATCCAGCAGACCCCAGGAGGGCTGAGGCCTCTGGGCTACCACCCCAGTCCTGGGAGGTGAGACCCTCACCGGCCGTGCCCCCCAGGCCCTGCGCGTGAATGGCCTGGAGCAGCTTTGCAACAACCTGGCCAGTGAGCGGCTGCAGCTCTTCACCAGGCAGATGCTGCGGGCGCAAGAGGAGGTAGGGACGCGCCCTGAGTACGGGGAGAGACCGGGCCTGCCCACGGGGGCCCGGAGCCCCCCAGCGGCTCCTCTGTGGAGGGGAACAGGGGTGAGGAGGCCGAGGCTAATGAGGCTGTCTGCAGGAGGAGTGTGTGCGTGAGCAGCTGCCCTGGGCGCCCTGCCCCCCACCACCCCAGGAGTCGTGCCTGGGCCTCCTGGCCGGCCAGCCCCACAGCCTCCTGGACATCCTGGATGCCCAGACCCGGCTGGCCCAGGTGAGAGCCAGGGACTGGTTGTGGGCAGGGCATTGGGGGGCCCAGGGGGTCTGCGGTGTCACACCCTGCAACTCGGCCTCCCTGAGCCTCCTTGAGTGCAGCAGCCCGGTTGCCCAGAGGGGCCCCCCCTCACAGAAGCCCACGACTGCTGGCCCCCACTGGCCTAACAGCCAGAGACTTCACTCCCCCTGCCCACCCACAGCCCGGTGACCGGCGTGGGCTCATTGGCAACTGGGCCCCGTCAGGAGGCAACGTTGGTGCCCGCTCCCCAAGGGCCTGCCATGTCTGGAAGGAGGGAGTGAGTCAGGGAGTGAGTCAATGAGCAGTGAGTGAACAAGTGAGCAAAGGATGAGTAGACAGGTGAGCGTGAGCAAGTGAATGAATGAATGAATGAGTGGGAATGAATGAATGACTGTGTATCGGGCCCAGTCCTTCCCCTCCGCACCCGCAGGGAGGTCGCAGGCTCACGTCTGTATAGCACCACACAGGTGTGACTCCAGGGCTGGTGGTGGGCAGGGCCCATTTGGGACTGGGCTTCTGGGGTTGGGGTTCAGTCGGGTGAGCCCGTGCCAGCCCAGCAGGTGACCTCTGCACTCTATCCCCAGACACACTTTTTAGTCACAGTCTCTGGTAAAATGGTCCAGTGGTATTAGCTTTTATGGTTCTGATGTACAAAGTACCAGCACCTTCACTAAGGCTCCCCTCCTCCCCTTCTCGGTCTTACGTCTCTGTAATCTGACCATGGTAGTCAGAGGCCACAGGCTGTCCTGGTCGATACCGTCTGTTTCCTCGTCTGTCTCAATTCCAGGTGAGTGAGCTCACCGGTCTTTGCCCTTCCCACCGGGACTTTTTATTTTTCCTTTTTGGGTCACACCCAGCAGTGCTCAGGGGTTATTCCTGGCTCTGCGCGCAGGAATTACTCCTGGCAGTGCTCGGGGGACCCTGTGGGATGCTGGGAATCGAATCCGGGTCAGCCGAGTACAAGGCAGACGCCCTCTCCACGCTGTATTGTTGCTCTGCCCCCCCCCCCATTTGTACTTTTTCCCCCTTAACATGACACCCTCCAGCTCCATCCCGGCGACAACAAACTGAGATTTCGTCTTTTCTGACAGTTGCATAGTATTCCACTGACAGTATTGACCACAGCTGCTGCTCTGCTGGGCGGGTCACACTGCTGGTACTCAGAGCACACTCCCAGCTCCGTGCTCAGGGGGCACTCCTGGCGGGATGAGACGCGGTGCTGGGCCTTCCTGCTGTGTACTGTCTGCAGCCCCTGCCGTCTGCACCCGGGTGACATCGGTGTCACAGAGCCCTAAGGAAGGGTTCCTGCCTTTCCCCCATGTCTTTGGAAGGGCTTTGGGCCTCTCAGTGACGGCTTGGGAGGATTCACCGGTGATCTCATCTGGCCTGGACCTTTGCTCTTGGGGACATCTTTTTTTTTTCTTTTTGGGTCACACCCAGTGATGCACAGGGGTCACTCCTGGCACTGCACTCAGGAATTACTCCTGGCAGTGCTCGGGGGACCATATGGGATGCTGGGAATCGAATCTGAGTTGGCCGGGTGGAAGGCAAATTCCCTGCCCACTGTGCTGTCACTCCAGCCCCTGTACTATTGCTCTTGGGGGCATCTTCCCATGACCCTCTTGCTTTCCTTCTTTGTGATCGGAGGCTTGGGGCTTCCTGCTTTCTCTGGGCCATCCTGGGACCCTCATCAGGGACCCGTTGCTTTCCATTGCTCCTGCCTACTGGCACAGACCTGCAGAGGAACCGCTGAGGGTCTTGTTTATTTATTTTTGAGTCACACCTGGTGATGCTCAGGGGTTACTCCTGACTCTGCACTTAGGAATTACTCCTGAGGGTGCTCGAGGGACCACATGGGATGCTGGGAATCGAACCCGGGTCAACCACAGCAAAGTCAAGGCAAACGCCCTCCCCACTGTACTATCGTGCCAGCCCCCTTATTTATTTATCCCCCCTCCCAGGTAAAGGCCAGGTATCTGTTGAAATTTCTCCCCTTTCCTCTCTGATAATATTTCTTCAGGTTTTCTCTTTTTCCTTTCTCTCCTCATGAGTCTAGCTAATGTCTATCAGTCTTATTAATTCTTTTGAAAATGCGAAGCCTTTGTTTCATTGACTTGTACTGATTTCTCTGTCATTGATTTCTGTTCTCAGTTGTATTATTTTCTTCCTCTCCTTGCCTTGGAATTCATTTGTGAATATTTTCTTTGGTTGGTTTGGCTTTTGTCTTAGGCCACGGGCTCTGCACTCAGGGATCACTCCTGGCAGCCTCCAGGGGACCGTCCAGGGTGCTATGGATTGAGCCTGGGTTGGCTGTGTGCACGGCAAGCTCCTGCCCACTGTCCTGTCACTGTCCCGTCATGCTGGCCTCAGTGTCTTCAGCTGTGAGGTCGTTGTCCCTTGGACTTCCTGGTCCCCTGGCGTGTGCCGTTCTGTGAAGATCCTTCTTGGTGTGGCTTTGGCACTGCCCCACTGGCTCTGTTACCTCCTGTCATCATTCTTCATTCTCAGTCATTCTGAGAAATCGTTTTAAGTTCCTTCTTTGATTTCCTCTTTGACCTGGTGATTATTTAACCGGATGCTGTTCAGTGTCCAGATGTTGGCCTTGGGGCGGGGGTTTGAGTGCTGCGGGTCAGGCACTTGCTTTGCTCGCAGCCAACCCCAATTTGATCCCTGGCATTGCCTGTGGCCCCCTGAGCCCCGCCAGGAGTCCGCGCTGAGCCCTGCCAGGAGTGGCCCAGCTCCTGGCCAAGCAAACCAACAGAAACAAAAGTTGGGGCTTTCGCGAACTTTTCTTTTTCCCTTTTTGGGCTTTGGGCCACACTCTGTAGACTTTTTTGTTGTTTGTGTTTTTGTTTGGGGGCCACACCTGGTGGAGCCCCAGGCTTCCTCCCAGCCCTGTGCTCGGGATCCTTCCTGCCGGGCAGGGCTCTGGGGACCGTCTGTGGTGCCTGTGTGCCAGCGGCGTCCTCCTGCCACCCTGCAGCTCCAGCCTGGGCACTCAGAGACTGATTACTCTGCCCCGGCCTGCGGGTGACCCGGCTTCCTTCCCTCTTCTCTGCCCTTGCTGGCCAAGCGGGGTGTTCATCCTGAAATGATTGTGGTCCGGCAGCTCTGATTGTGGTCCTGGGGAAGAGGTTTGGGTCACACCATATGGTGCTCAGGGATCACTGCAGGGTGCTGGGAATTGAACCCGGACTCTGGGCTGCAGAGCCCCAATTGCTGGGCTGCCAGCCAAGCCCTATTTTGAAATTGTGTTTAGTGACGCAGAGGACATGCCTGAGGGAAAACATGCTGTGCTCTGGCAGGTCCGCGGGGGGTGCGGTGTAGACGAATTGCTTCTGGTTGGGAATGACGTGCGTGTGTTTGTGTATGTTTGTGAGCATATGTGTGTGTGTGCGTGCATGTGTGTGAACGTGTGTGTTTGCATATGCATGCATGTGTGAATGTGTGCATGCATGTGAACATGTGTTTGCATGTGCATGCATGTGTGGATGAGTATGTGCATGTGTGTGCATGCGTGTGAACATGCATTTGCATGTGCATGCATGTGTGAATGAGTATGTGTCCAAGCATGTGAACGTGTGTTTGCGTGTGCATGCATGTGTGAATGAGCATGTGTGGGTGCGTGTGTGTGAACGTGTGTTTGGGTGTGCATGCATGTGTGAATGAGTATGTGCGTGCGTGTGAATGCGTGTATACGTGTGTGAAAGTGTGTTTGCTTGGGGCCACGCCCTGCAGGGCCCAGAATCCAACCCAGGCCCCCCAGTGCAAAGCTGCAGCCTGTTGCGCTACCCCAGTCCCCGTGTTTTTCTCCCGTGTGACCCCACAGACCGCCCGAGGGCCCGGTGGTGTGTGTGCGGCCCTGGAGTCCTTCTCGCAGAGATTTCCCCGCTTGCTGGGCGGGGCTGTCTCTGATGGGCTCAGGAATCAGGACCCTTCCTGCTGAGAGGAGGGGGAGTGGAGCCACCTAGATTCCGCGCCCCACCCCCACCCCCACCCAGTGTATAGTGCCTGCAGCTCGGGGAGGGCCCAAGGCCAGGCACCGGGGCTGAGGGGTCCTGCCCCCCGCCAGGCCACAGACCACACGTTCCTGCAGGAGTGCCACTATCGCCACGGGCAGCACCGCTGCTACGGCAAGCCCACACGGCCTCTGCCTGCCTTCACTGTGCGCCACGCAGCCGGGGCTGTCACCTACCAGGTAAGAGAGCGTGGAGAGCCGGTGGCACAGGCCCCTCAGGCCCTCCCCAGTCCGAGCTCAACCCGTGGGATCTTGCCTGACGGTCCATCCTTGCTGGCCTCAGGAGCCTCCGCCTCACAGGGCAGCGCTCAGGCCCCGTTGCCTTCTCGCCCCATCTGTAAGATGGTGGGAATCTGCCTGAGAGCCTCCTCGCAGGGGCCAAAGGTGACAGCACGGAATATGCCAGGCCTGGAACCAGTGTGAGGTGGGGGCAAGTCAGGGAAGACTTCCTGGAAGAGGCCCTTGGGGCAACAAGAAAAAAAGGGAGAACTATTAAGAGTCACAACAGTAAAACAGGAGCCTGGAGGTGGCGGAAAGGACCGGAGCATGGGGGAATCCTGGGTTTGATCCCTTGGAGATGGTCCTCTCAGCACTGCCAGGAACAGCTCCTGGGCACCTCTGGGTGTGGAAATAAGCTTCAGAGGGGGAACACAGGGGCCAAGCGACAGTACAGCAGGGTGGGGACTCACCTTGCATGTAGCCGACTCTGCTTCAGTCACCAGCATCACGTACAGTTCCCTGGACCTCAACAGGAGTGAGCCCTGAGCACTGTCCGGCAGGGCCCGGAAACAAAACTAAAACTAAAACTGCCGCTTCCTCCTCCTCCTCCTCCTCCCCTCCTACTCTCCCTCCTCCTCTTTCTCCCCCTCCTCTTTGTCCTCCTCCTCCCCTCCTCCTCTTCCTCCTCCTCCCTCTTCCTCCTCCTGCTCTTCCTCCTCATTGGAGTTTGAGCGCAGGGCTTCACACATGCAAGGATAGTACTGTGGGCCTGAGTCTTGGCCAAGCTTGCAGCCTGAAACCTCCGCTGAGTTTCTGGCTGTTTCTCTGCTCATCTCTGGGGGGAGGTAAGATTCACCTTCACGGTCTTCTCTGAACCTGGGGGGAGCGGCAGAGAGATGTGCCCCATGCGCCCAACCCCCACTGACTTGCAGGTTCACAAGTTTCTAAGCAGAAACCGGGACAGCATTGCTCCGGACGTGGTGGACATGCTGGCCCAGAGCCAGCTTCAGGTGCCCCGCAGCCCCCGCCGGGTTCCCCCCCCCCCCCGTCCTGGAGGGTATGAATGTGCCCAAGGGCTGGCACATTGGATCCTGGGCTGGCCCACCTAGGCAGCAGGGCATGGGGGCAGTTGGGCAGTGGGGAGTGAGGTGGGCAGCGGGGAGTGAGGCGGGCAGTGGTGCCGGGCAGCAGGGCAGTGGCCACCCCTCTCGTACCCAGCTGGTGGGCAGCTTGTTCCAGGCCTGTGGAGGACAAGGCCGAGCCACGCTGGCCTCCAGCTTCCAGCGCGCCTTGGGGGACCTCCTGGCCCAGCTGGGCAGGTGGGTATCCACCCCCCCAGAACCAGAGGGGACGGGGTGAGCTGCTCTGTGCCTAGTGACCAGTCCTTCCTGCCAGGAGCCGAGTCTTCGTCATCCAGTGCGTCCAGCCCAACCCCAGGAGGGTGAGCGCCCCCCTCCCGGAGACCCCTCCCTGCTCCTTGTGCCCGGCTCAGCCTGTCCCTGGCCACAGCTGCCAGGCGTCTTTGACGTGGGACATGTGGCGGAACAGCTGCGCCAGGCGGGCGTCCTGGAGATGGTGTGCAGCCGTGGTACCACCCTCCCTGTGCGCAGGCCCTTCCGGGACTTCCTGGCCAGGTGTGGAGGCTGGGGGGAGACGAGGACCCCGGGATTGCTGGCTGGGGACCCACTTTCCAGAACCCAGGGTGCCACCTCCCTCCCCGCTGCCCCCTGCCCTCCTGGTCCCCGACCCACCTCAGCTTCTGACACCAAAGCTCGTGAGCTCGCCCAAACCTCAGCTCTCCTGGGGGGCAGGTTCCAGGCCCTGGGGACGCACCTGCAGGGGGACCCCTCGGATCGGGAGAGATGCAGCGCCATCCTGAGCCAGGTGCTAGGGGCTGAGTCCCCCGTCTACCACCTCGGAACCACCCAGGTATGTGTGTGTGCATGTGCTTGCGCCTATGTGTGTATATGTGCATGTGTGTGCGTGTGTATATGTATGTGCATGCATGTGTGCATATGTGTGTGTTTATGAGTGCACGCGTGTGTGCGCACCTATGTGCGTGTGTGTGCAGGTATGTATGCATGTGTATGTATGCATGTGGGCTGGAGCGATAGCACAGCGGGTAGGGCGTCCGCCTTACAAGCGGCCAACATGGCCGACTCGAGTTCGATTCCTCCGCCCCTCTCGGAGAGCCCGGCAAGCTACCGAGAGTATTCGATATGCCAGACACAGTAACAACAAAGTCTCCAATGGAGACGTTACTGGGCCCGCTCGAGCAAATCGACGATCAACGGGAGGGCCTTTACCTTTACCTTTATGAGTGCACGCGTGTGTGCGCACCTATGTGCGTGTGTGTGCAGGTATGTATGCATGTGTGTGAATGTGTACACATGTGCGGGTGTACTTATCCACGCATGCATGTGTGTACACACATATGTGTGCATGTGTGTATATGCATGTGCACATATGTGTGTGCATTTGCATATGTGTACACACATGTGCATGTGTGTATGTGTTTGTATATGCATGTGTGTGTGCATATATGCATGTGTGTGCGTGCACTGGTGGACACACGGGCAGACACAGGTTTGCATCCGGGGTGGCCGGGGTGGGGTCACCCTGAGGATCAGCCTGTGGCTGGCAGGAGGAGGAGGCTGAGACCCAGCAGGAAACGGATGCCCCTGCCGTGTTTGCACCTCTGCCCACAGGTGCTGCTGCAGGAGTCGGCCTGGCAGCGGCTGGAGCAGCTCCGCGCCCAGCGCCGCACCCAGACCCTACTGGCCCTGCGCCGCGGCCTCCGCGCCTGTCTGTCCCACCAGCGCCTCCGCCTGCTGCCCCGCGTGCAGGCACGTGTCCGCGGGCTCCAGGCCAGGTGTGTGGGGCAGGGAGAGCCCGGGGGACCCCTGGGGTGGGGGCCTCCCGTGTGTAGTCATTCCTGGACCGTGTGCCCCCACAGCAAGCTAGCCGAGCCCCTGCCCCTCAGGGCCTCTCCTGTCCCCCACTGGCTGTGGGCAGGGCCTTGAAGCAGGGGCTGAGGCATAGAGGGAGCGCACAGGCCTGGCCTGCGCAGGCCTGGACACAGATCCCCACCCCGGCACCATAGATGCAAAAAGCAGATGGCGGGGGTGGGGGCCAGTCACAGTGCTGGCAGGAAGTCAGTCGTGCCTTGACCGCCTTGCTGGCACTTTCTTTGGGAGGAACAGTGCAAGGACTGTCCCCTAGAGGGGATGGCCCCCAAGCACTATTGAGTGTCACCACCAAAAGAATTTAATAGAGAGGCCAGAGTGGTAGCACAGCTAGCAGGGCACTTACCTTGCATGTGGCTAACCTAGGTTCGATCCTGGCATCCCATATGGCCCCTGGGCACCACCAGGAGTGATTCCTGAGAGCAGAGCCAGGAGTCAGCCCTGCGCATCACCGCATGACCCAAAAACTACAACAAAAAGACAGTGTCATTGAAGGGGACAGGGCTGCCCCCCCTCCCCCGTAACCACTCTCCCCCACCCATTTTCTCCATCTACTTCCTTCCTCTGTGAATTTGCCTCTTCCAAAGAGTTCTTGTAAGTCACCTCCTACAGTAGTCCTTCTTATTTCTGAGTTTGGGGTCACACCCAGCAGTGCTAGGGCTGACTCCTGGCTCTGCATTAGAAACCACCCCGGGCGGGCTCAGGCCCCATTACCGGGACCCAGGATTGAACCCAGACCGGCTACAAGCAAAGCAAGCACCTTACCTCCCGTCCTACTGTTTCAGCACCTTTTATTCTGGGGGTGGGGGGAACCACTACTGGCTGTACTCGGGGTCCACTCTTGGCTGCCGCTGGCGGTGGAGGGACTGCTGTGGGCTGGGGGGTGGCAAGGGTCCCCTGCAGCCTGGCCGCGGGCGTTCGGCTCTCTTGTCGTCATTCCTCACGTCTGGCTGAGGCTGTTGCTTTCAGGTTCAGCCACAGCATAGGTCAGAATTACTTTTTCTTTTGTTTTGGGGGCCACACCCACCACCACGGTCTCTGGCCTGAGCACTTCATTTCCCGCCAGGGATGTTGCTTACGGTTAGATCCACTTGCCTGTGCGTGCATAAGGCCCCGGTTCAATCCCTGGCACCACAAAAAGCACAAACAGAATTTTACTTCTTGTTTTTTTGTTTGTTTGTTGGTGGGAGGGCACCCCACCCAGCTGTGCCCAGGGTTCACTCCTGGTTGTGCTCAGGGAGCACTCCTGGGCAGGCTGCGGGGTGAACCCAGGTCAGCGCGTGTAAGGCAAGTGGCCGACCCCCCTGCATTAGCGCTCTGATCCCTCTGTGAAGTGATTTTTGTTTTTGTTTGGAGGGGTCTACCCAGCTGTGCTCAGGGCTTCCTCCCGGCTCTGCACTCAGGGATCATTCCTGGCGGGCTCGGGGATCGTGTGAGGTGCCGGGGACTGCACCCACTGAGACGTGAGCAGAGCAAGCGGGTGCCCATTCTGGAGGGCTCGGGGGCATGTAAGGTGCCTCTGCGGTCCTGGCCTGGTCTCCGCCCGGGGCCATAGAGCTTGTTTCTCTACCTGCTTTTGAGTGGGGTCAGGGTCTTTGCTGCCGAGCTCTGTGGGTTGTGTCTGGACATCAGACGTTTATCCAAAATAGGATTTGCAGAGGCCAAGAAACCATCCAGCGGCTAAGGTGATTGCCTCGAACATCGCCAACTTAGGTTTGATCCCCAGCATCCCATACGGCCCCTGAGCCCGCCAGGGGTGGTGTCTGAGCAGTCAGGAGTGAGCCCTGAGCACCGCCAGATGTGACTCAAACCTGCCCCTCTAAAAGAAACGGCCAGGTGCTGGAGCGATAGCACAGCGGGTAGGGCATTTGCCTTGCATGCGGCCGACCCGGGTTTGATTCCCAGCATCCCATATGGTCCCCCGAGCACTGCCAAGAGTAATTCCTGAGTGCAGAGCCAGGAGTAATCCCTGAGCATCACTGGGTGTGACCCAAAAAGCAAAAAAAAAAAAAAAAAAAAGGAAAAACAAAAAACAGCCAATAGTTGGAGCTTTTTTGGTCACACCGGGTGATGCACAGAGATTACTCCTGGCTCTGAACTCAGGAATTACCCTTGTTGGTGCTCGGGGGACCATATGGAATGCCAGGGATCAAATCTGGATTGGCCGGATGCAAGGCAAAGGCCTCCCTGCTGTGCTGTCGCTCCAGCCCCTGGAACAAATTCTTGGGTGCAGGAAGGAAAGTTGATTTTTCTCCCAGCTGTGGCCCCTGATATACTCTCTGACTCCTCCCCTCCCCCATGGCAGTTTCTGCCTCTGAGTTTATTAAAATCTGCCTATTCAAAGTGATTATTTTTGAGTTAAGATAATTTCTCTCAACTCAGAGGAGAGAGAGTGAGCAAATATTGACTTTATAATGCAAATCAATCAATGACCTTCTCCACTTATCTTCAGGAAAAGAAAGTTGCAGGGTTTTGTGTTTTAAGGACTTTGCCCCTCTTGGGGTGCCAGGGACTGAACCCGGGTCGGCTGCGCGCAAGGCCAGCGCCTCCCCCTCAGGATCCCTCTAGCCCCTCAAGAATTTTTTAATGAGGTTCTCTGGGGTCCGACGTGATGCGCATTCCCAGTGTTCTCTGGACTTATAGCTTGGTTTGTTTCGGAGGAATCACACCCGCTGCCCTGGGCTGGGGGACGGGCCGAGGGAATGCGCGTGCCTGGCGCACACTGCAGCCCCCGAGCCCTCTCGCTGGGCCCCGCGTCGTGGCGGGGGCTGCGACCCCGCCGTGGCCTCCTCACACCCCCACCCCTTCCCGGGTCTCCAGGAAGCGCTACATGCAGCGGCGTGCAGCGCTGGCCCAGCTGACCGCAGTGCTCCTGGTGGTCCGGCCACTGCTCTGGACACGCCAAAGGCTGCAGGTGCGAGGGGTGGACGGTGGGAAGACCAGCCACCCCCCCCCCCCATGGGTCCCCGCCCGGTTCTCTTGGTCCCCGCTCGCAGCCTCAGGCTCTGGCTCTGCGGGCAGGGCCGGCGGCCTGGACTTCCGGGAGTCCTGGACCCTTCCATCCTGCACTGCCCCCGCCCCGGGTCCCCTCCGGCCCGCCCCGACCCCCTTCTCCGCCCAATGATTCCGATTTGGGGCCCATAAAGCAGCTCAAAGGTCGGGGCTCACACGCTGCCCCTTCTTGGCCCCTCCCTGCCCGGACTTTGCCCTCGGTGCTGACCATTCATGCCCACTTCCCGGCACCCAGGCAGACCGACAGGGCCGCGCTCGGCTGGAGGCTGCTGAGGGCTCTGCAGCGTGGACCCCCACAGGGTCTGCTCTAGAGGAGGTGGGTGGGCGGGGCAGCGGGCACCGAGGGGAGAGTCCCTGGAGGCAGAGGCGCGTCCCCTCTGACCCCCGAAGTGTGGTTACGGGCGTGGCCAGCACCGCAGCGAGGGCCCCGACACAGCGTCTATCATGGTAGGTGGGCTGGACCCTGGGACCCACACGGAGGCGGGGGGGGGATGGGTGCCCCAAGGGCAGGCTGATACCCCCGGGTGGGAGTGGGGGTCCCCCGTGCCCCTCTACTTGGGCGACTGGTCCTCCCGCAGGAGCTGCAGCGCGCGGAGCTCCCGGCCGAGCTGGCTGTCATGCTGAAGATCGCAGAAGGTAGTCTCTTTCTCTCTCTGGTTCTGGGGTCGCCCTGCTGGTGCTCCCAGCACGGTTCTCTGAGCTGTCAGCCCATGCCCCCAGTGTTGTCCTGTCTGATGTGGCGCTGGGCCGTGGGTGGGTCTGTCCCAGGGGTCCCGCTCCCTGGGGGCAGGCGAGGAGGGGTGGGGGTGGGGCCGGGCCCCCCCTGGGAGCTTCTGTGCTGTCCCCAGGCCGTCAGCAGGCCTTGACCGAGAGCATCAAGGAGTCTCTGCCCCCGGAAGTGCCCGTCAGGCCCAGCCTGGCGCTCCCGCCTGACATTGACAGTTTCCCCTTCTCCAGCTTTGTCTCCACCGGCTTTCAGGTAAACGCCCTCCTGCCCCGCACTCTCCCCAAGCTCCCCGGGGACCATCCCGAGGCCAGGTGACAGCTTTGCAGGGCCACTTTGCTTGGATCACGGGGCCACACCCAGGACCACACCTATGGTCAGGGCTGCCCTGGGTGCCTCATGAAGAGGAGGAACAACAGGAAAATGTCCACGGGCTAACAGCAGGGAGGGCTCTGGACAGTGGGGAGGGCACTGGACAGCAGGGCAGGCACTGCCCTGCGTGTGGCCAGCCGGGGTTCGTGCAGGAACAGACTTGCAGAGCGGGGCACCCAGTCCCACTGGCAGGAGGCGCTGCCCGAGTCCCCTAACATGGAGGCTCCGGCTCAGCCCAGGTACTGTCTTGTGAGCCCAAGGAGCGATCCAGATGCTTGGGGAGGTGTGTGTGTGGGGGGTCTTTGTTGTTTGTTTTGTCACCAAGCGGTGCCAGTGCCGGTGCCAGGACAGACCCAGGAAGAGCTTCTGGCACTGGCCAGGGCTCTGGCCCTCTGCGCAGGCTGAAGGCTGTTTCTCCTGCCTGTCCCCTCTCTCGGTCTCGCTCTTCAGCCTCCATCCCCTCCTTCTTTGCAGGATCCAGCCCTGCCCAGTCCCGGGCAGCTGCTGACCAAGCCACTGACCCGGCTGGCTGGGGAGAACCCCCAGAAAGTGCTGGACATCAACAAAGTGGTGAGTGACCCTCAGGAGGGGCCAGGGTCGTCTTGGGCCCCGGGGCAGCTCCGGCCCTGCCCTCACGCGCCTCTGTCGGCAGCTGCTGTGGCTCCTGAAGGACAGCTCGCTGGCCCCCTGGCAGGAGCAGACCCTGGGCACGTACCTGGTGCAGCAGGGCCAGCGGCAACCCCGGCTGCGGGATGAGCTCTTCAGCCAGCTGGTGGCCCAGCTCTGGCAGAACCCCGACGGGCAGCAGAGCCAGCGCGGCTGGGCCCTCATGGCCACCCTGCTCAGTGCCTTCCCCCCGCTGCCCGCCCTGCAGAAGCCGCTGCTCAAGTAAGGCCCTGGCCGGTGGGGGCGGGGGGTCCAGGGGGGCCCCAGGAGGCGTCCCTGGGCCGAGCTGACCACCTCCCCACCCCCTCCTCACTCTGCCTGCAGGTTCGTGTCCGACCAGGCACCCCAGGGCATGGCTGCCCTGTGCCAGCACAAGCTGCTGGGGGCGCTGGAGCAGGCACAGGTGACCCCTGGGGTGGCTCGGGCCCATGCCCCCACCCAGCTGGAGTGGACGGCAGGGTGGCGGCGGGGCCGCATGGCACTGGACGTCTCCACTTTCAATGGTGAGTCCTCACTCTTCCTGCACCCTCCCTCCCCCTCGTCCTGCTCGAATCCCAGTGTCCCCGCCCCCTCCCTGTCACCCCTCTCTCCTGCTTTGGAACTCTTCCCCATGACCTGAATGCCCCCACCCCCGGCCTCCCTCCCACCCGCAACAGAGCGCTGCTACTCAGCGGAAGTGGAGTCCTGGACCACTGGGGAGGAGCTGGCTGGACGCATCCTGCAAGCACAGTAAGGGGGGGCAGGTTCCTGTCCCCCCAGCTCAGCAGCCCCACCTGGAGGCAGGGCGGGGGAGCACGGTGGGGGCAAGTGGCCAGTCCAAGCTGGCACTGTGGCGCACCTGGAGGCTTCTCCTTGATCCTCTCTGGGCCGGCAGGGGCCGGAGCCATACTAGAGCCAGGAGGGTGCTGGCTTTGCATGGGTTTGATCCCAAGCACTGCATAGGGTCCCCTGAGCCCTGCCAGGAGTGACCCCTGAGCACAGAGCCAGGAGTGAGTCCTGAGAACTGCCGGCCGTGGCCCAGAGACCAAAATATCCAGACAGACCCGCAACAAAAACCTGGGTCAATGGCCATGTGCTTGTCTGAGGGGGGAGGGAGGAGGGCTGTGCGCGGAGCCTTTGAAACCAGCACGGTGAAACCTGGGCTCCTGCCTGTCCAGAGTCAGGACCCTCTGTAGCATCCCGCCCCCCCCCCCCACCCCGCTTGGGTCCTCGAGCCTTTAGGTGGTCACCACCTCTGTCCCTCGCAGGGGTCTGGAGGTGCCCCCACGTGGCTGGTCCGTGTCACTGCACTCCGGGGACTCCTGGCAGGATCTGCTGGGCTGTGACTTCGTGCTGGATCTCATCGGCCAAACTGAAGACTTGGGGGACCCCTCGACCCCCCGCAGCTACCCCATCACCCCCCGGGGCCTGTAGGTGGCCGCGGACACTTTTGGCCCTCCCAACTCCGGTCCCTCTCCTGGGAACTCTGGGGGGTGGCCCTCTTCCCGTGCCCTCTCCCTCCTCTGGGGACCCTGAAAACAGCTTCTCCATGCAGTCCGGGGACTTCCTGAGCTGGGCCTCTTTCTCCTGCAGAGTCGAGGATATCCCCCCCGCCCCTGGCTTCCAGGCCCCCTCCCTGTTCCCCGACCCTCCCCCAGGCCCTGCCCCGACACTGCTTGGCAACACCTCAGGTGAGGGTGACCTCGGGCCCTGCGCAGACGGTGGGCTGGGCAGTGGGCAGGAAGGCCCGGATCACTGACCTCCCATGTCCCTGCAGCCAGGTCTCAGGCCCCGGGAACCCTGGACAACTTCGTGGACCACCTCTTCAATCCCGTCCTCTCCGAGAGCCCCAGTGTGAGTCCTGCACCCCAGCCCGGCTGCCCCCCATGCCCCCCCGCCCCCCTGGCTCCAGCCTGTCTCCTTTGCCCCTGCAGGACCTGGAGCAGAGCCTGGCCCTGAGCAGCCGCATGAAGGGAGGGGGTGGCGTTGGGCCCATGCAGCAGGGCATGTGTGAGTGTGGGCCCTTCACCCTCGCACCGGGAAGGGAAGGGAGTGAGGCTGGAGGGAGGCGTCGGGATGGGGCTGACCCCGAAGACCCTGTTTCCTCAGTGTATCCGGGGATGATGCAGATGCCGGGGTACCAGCCCCCCATGGTACCTGCACCTATGATGCCAGGTGAGGCAGGGCTAGCCGGGTGCTGGGTGTATGTGTGTGGGGGGTCAAGGCCTCCCCCACCAACCTTGCCAGCACCCCCTGTTGCAGTGATGATGCCGCCGCTGCCGCAAGCTCCGTTTCCGAGCATGAACCCGCAGGAGCTGTGGCTCCAGCAGCAGAACTTCATCAACCAGCAAGCGATGATTATGGTGGGGGCAGCGCCCTGGGACTGTGGGTCGGGGTGGGGGCCGGCGGGGCCACCCTCACGCGCATCTTGCTGTGCAGGCCCAGCAGGTGGCGGCCTCGGCCCTGAGCATGTCCCGGGAGCAGTGGCAGCAGCAGCCGGCCAGGAGGCAGCCGGGTCCCCCACAGGACCAGGGCCAGGAGCTGGAGCCGGTGGGCGCGGGGCTGATGTGGAGGGGTGAGGGGAGGGGGGCGGCTGATGGGGGGGAGTGTCTGGCCCTGAGGGGGTCCCGGGACAGCAGGCTGAGCCTTTGTTGTTTTGTCTGTTTTGTTTCCTTTTTGGTTTTGGTACTGGGCAGTGCTCAGGGCCCACACCGGGCAGGACTCAGGGTTGAACCTGGACCTGAAGCTGCTGGATTCCAGCCCTTGAGCCTCTGTTTTCATATGTCCCTCTCGTCACAGGATGAGTGGCCACCAGAGTTGGACGATGGAACAGAGAGTACCAGGAGCTTCCAGGAGAAACGGGCATATTTCCAGAAGATCGGTGAGGGTCTGGGCAGGAGGGCACCGCTCAGGCTCAGGAAGCAGATTCTGGAGCAGGGACCCGAGCAGGGGTGCTGACCAGAGTTTGCTCTCTGGCCTGTAGGGTCCCCCACCCCTGCCAGGAGTGATTCCTGAGCACAGAGCCAGTGTTGAACATTGCAGGGTGTGACCCCCCACCCCCCAAAAAATTTGTAGCACTGTCCTCTCATTCATCCATTTGCTTGAGCGGGCACAGGTAATGTCTCCATTGTGAGACTTGTTACTGTGTTTGGCATATTGAATACGCCACGGGGAAGCTTGCCAGGCTCTGCTATGCGGGCGGGACACTCTTGGTAGCTTGCTGGGATCTCCCAGAGGGGCGAAAGAATCAAACCCGGGTCGGCCACGTGCAAGGTAAAATGCCCTACCAAAAAACCAGGCCTCGGGCTCTCACAGGGCAGGGGCCAGCCAAGACTGTCCGGAAGCGCCCGACCAGAGTGTGGCTGCCGCCTCCGAGGGACACGCAGGAGCCGAAAGCGGGTGACGAAACCGACAGTGGACACAGGCCCCTGGCTGCGCCTGTGGCTGCCCCGCCGCCCGTGGCTGCCCCAGCGCCGGTGGCTGCCCCACCGCCCGTGGCCAAGAAGCCGCAGGCCAGAGCTCCACCGCCTGTGGAGGCCCCGCGCAGGGATGTGGTGCGGGCCAGCTCAGAGCCGGAGCCTCGGCCGCAGCCCAGCAGGGAGATCGGGAACCTGATCCGCATGTACCAGAGCCGCCCGGCCCCTGTGCCCACGCCCGTGCAGCCGACCAGGTGGGCCCCGGCCGGGGGGCGCGCGGGGCCCGCTGCGCCGGACGGGCCGCCCTGACCCCGGGCCTCTTCTCCGCCAGGAAGCCCGTGAATCTCTTCCTGAAGAAAAGCGACCCCAAGGACGAGGCGCTGGCCAAGCTGGGCATCAACGGTGCCCAGCCGTCCCCTTCGGTGAGGCCCGTTCCCGCTCTCCCCGGACTCGGGCTGAACTTGACCTCGCTCCTCGGTGAGGCTCAACGTGCCCTCTCGGTGCTCCCCCAGCCACTGTTCGCCAGCCCCAGGAAGGACCCCGCGCCCCCCGTAGCTCAGAAACCCCAAAAGGCGGGGCTCTCCAGCTCCATCAAGGAGAAACAGGGGCCCCTGCAGCAGCTGTTCGGCCAGACCAAGCCCCCCGTGCCACCGCCGTCCCCGCCGCCATCACCAAGACCCTCGCTGGCTCCACCGCCTCCACCTGAGACCAGAGCCGCTCCTAGGTCTCACTCTGGGGGTAAGGGGCGTGCCCTGTGGCGGGCGTGCCCCAGGATGAGGGGCGGTCATACAATGGGCGTGTCAGGGTAAGGGGTGTGGTCTCGTATCCTCGTCCCCGGAACCCGGGCCAGGGTTTCCAGCAGCCTTTGGGCTCTGAACTTTTGCAGCTTCTGTGCTCCTGCCCCGACCCGGCCAGGCACGCCACCCATGGGGTTCATCTGGCCAAGGAACTGGCCCTCACATCCCCATGGAGAACTTAATGGTGGGGGAGGGGAGCAGAAGGGACGGGCCGGGGGCTGGGGAGGACCTGCCAGGCTCTCAGCCTCTCGCCTGCCGGGCGCCCCCTGCAGGCATGACAGAGCCCATGCAGGACAGGGGCGTCTCGACGCAGCTGCACGCGCCCTCAGGCAGCGTGTGCTTTTCCTACGCCAACCCGGGCTGGAGGCTGTTCCTGCGCAAGGAGGTGGGCACCGGGCGGAGGAGGGATGGGGGAGGACAGGGGGCCTGGGGCAGAGGGCGCTGCTCCTGCTTACTCTCACTCCTGCCCTGTCCAGCTCTTCTATCCCCGGGAGAACTTCAGTCACCCCTCCTACCTCCGACTCCTGTGTGAGCAGGTGAGGCCACGGGCCCACCAGCCTTCATGGGGCCCTGCCAGTCCCATCGGCCCAGGGGCGGTGGGTTGGCATCCTTGGGAGGGCATAAAAAGTAGAGTGTGTGCCAGGGAGATGGTGTAGCTGCATCCTGGTCCCGAGTGGCCCTGAGAAATGCCATGCACACAGGGCTCAGAGCAGGCATCTGGTCCTGTGCCACCTCTGGCAGCTCCCCGATGGCTCTCCCCCGTTAGTTCCTCCATTTCTGGGAGAGCTGCAGCTTCTGAACCCCAGAGGTGGGTGGGGACAGTGTGCAGGTGGGGAGGGCAGGGAGATGCTGGGCACGGAGCCCCCTCTCGCAGCATTGTCTCTGAGGGGTCTGCCCCCTGCTTCGCCCCCAGATCATTCGGGACACCTTTGCCGAGTCCTGCACTCGAATATCCCAGAATGAGCGGCGCCGGATGAAAGAGCTACTGGGTATCGCGGGCCCCAGGGGGGCCCAAGGGTGGGGGGCCTGACTCTGGGGTTGTGGCAAGGGACCTCGGGACAGCCAGGCTGCTTCCATCTGCAGGGGACCTGGACATGGGCCTGGACTCGCTGCACAGTGCCGACGACAACGTTAAGAAGCGCATTGTGGTGGCCGCACGGGACAACTGGGCCAATTACTTCTCCCGCATCTTTCCTGTCGCGGTCAGTGCCAGGCTGGGTGGTCCCGAGGTGGAAGGTGTGAAGCGTGGGGCGGGGCCATGGTGACCACCCCGCTGGCCCGCAGGGGGAGAGTGGCAGTGACGTGCAGCTGCTGGCCGTGTCCCACCGAGGCCTGCGGCTACTCAAGGCAGCCCGAGGCACCAGCTTCCAGCCGGAGCAGCTGAAGACCCTCTGCTCCTTCAGGTGGGCCCACGCGGGCGCTCACCCTGACCCCCACCGCGCTCTCCCTTGCCCCTCTTGAGCACCCACCCTCCCCTCCCCCCTGCCGCCCCCAGCTTTGCGGAGGTGCTGGCCGTGGAGAGCCGCTCAGGCACCGCCTTGGAACTGTCGCTGAGGGGCGAGCAGCTGGTGCTGCACACTGCCTGGGCAGATGCCATCAAGGCCATGCTCGACCTGTTCCTGGCAGAGCTGAGGAAGGTGAGTGCCCGGCTGGGCTGGCTCCCTGGCCCCGGGGGACGTGGGGGGGCTGCGTGGGATCCTCCCCTCTGCTGTGCCCCAGGACTCTGGCTACGTGGTGGCCCTGAGGAGCTACATCACCGACGACCACAGCCTGCTCAGCTTCCAGCGCGGGGACCTCATCAAGCTGTCGCCGGCAGCCCCTCAGGAGCCAGGTACGGGGACGGCACTGGGGGCGGCCTGGGGGGGGCAGCGGGGGGTGTCAGGTGAAGGGGAGACCCCTGACTGCCTTGCAGGTTGGCAGTTTGGTTCCCTGAGTGGCCGCTCCGGACTCTTCCCCGCTGACATCGTGCAGCCGGCGGCCGCCCCCGACCCTTCCTTCGCACCCAAGCAGAGGAAAGACCGCGGCCAGGACGGGGCGGCCGAGGTGAGGGCCACTGCTCCCCACTCCTCCCTTACCGTGTCTCCCCAGCAGCACTGCACTGGGCAGGGAGTGTCTCTCACACGCGTGCACACACACACGTACACGCACACGACTCTCAGCACTGCAGTACCGAGTTGGTCATTGGGCAGGGAGTGTCCCGCGCACACACACACACACACACACACACACACAACACACACGCATGTGCTCTCAGCACTACCACACACATACACGTGTGCGCCACTCTCAGCACTGACGACTTGACTGCTGGTGGGACAGGTGCCCGGGCAGGCAGAGAGGGTGCCACCCAGTCTCCTGTGCTCCCAGCCTCCTGGCTGCATCTCATCACAGATGCAGAGCGAGGACGCTGCCAGCCTGCCCCCGTCCGTGAGCAGCGTGGTCCTGTCCATGGACTCCGAGAACTACAGCATGCCCGAGTTTGCACTGAAATACTTCTGGAAACCGCACGCCCTGTGAGTGCCCTGCAGCCGCCTTCCCAGATATGCCCCCTGGGACCCGTGGAGGCCGTGGACGGCCAACCAGCAGCCCACCCCACTCTCTCTGCAGGCCGCACCCCATGGACGCCAACAGCGCTGCCAGCCTGGTGCGCTACACCAAGGTGAGGGCCGGGAGGTGGCCAGGCCGTGACCTGCGAGTGGGCCCAGGCCCCCTGCCTCACAGCCCGGCCCCCATGTCTCTGGCTGCAGGGCCCCATCCCGCACTCCCTCATCAGCTTTTCAGATGAGAGCATCGCCAGGCAGGCGGTGGACAGCTTCCAGGGTGAGTGGCCCGGAAACCTGACCCTTGGGGCGAGATCTCCACTCGGGGGCTCCTAGGGGTCCCCACCCTGCCCTGAGGGTGGAGGGCACAGTCCGGCTGGAGGACAGCGGCGGGGGCAGTGGCCTGCACACGGGGGCGGCCCAGTGAGTCCATGGCTTGGGCTGAGCCCATTGCCCTGCTGCCCACTGGCCGCCAGGTGGGAAAGGCTCCCCGCCCCTCCTCACACCCTCCTGTCCATAGTGCTGAGGCAGTTCATGGGGGACCAGCCCTGGCCCAAGGGCAAGGACGAGCTGGACCTCCTGTACAGCCTGCTGAAGGTAGGCAGAGAGCGGTGCTCTGGCACCTGCAGCGTGGTGCGCAGGGACGGGAGGGGGCAGCGCAGCCGGCACGACTCCACTCCTGCTCCCGCCTCTCCCATCCCCCCCCAGCTGTGTCATCAGGAGCAGCTCAGAGATGAGATTTACTGCCAAGCCATCAAACAGGTCACAGGACACCCACGGCCGTGAGTGTGGGGACGGGTGGGGAGGGCCCTGGGGTGGCCCGGCCAGCCTGCAGCCCCGTCTCCCTCCACAGTGACTGCTGTGCCCGTGGCTGGACCTTCCTCAGCCTCCTCACTGGCTGCTTCCTGCCGTCGCCCACGCTCCTGCCCTATGTCACCAAGTTTCTGCAGGATTCGGGCCAGAGCCACGGTGCTGGGGCAGGCCGGGGGGTGGGGGGACCCGTGCAGTCCGGGTGGGGGCCTGAGGCTGCTGACCACAGCCCGCTCCTCTCTGCAGGCCAGGCCCAGTGCAGCCAGGAGCACCTCCAGAGCACCGTCAAGTATGGTGGGCGCCAGCGGCTGCCTTCCCCGGCAGAGCTGCGGGCATTCCTGGTACAGGGGTGCATCCGGGGGGCTGCTGGCATTCCTGGTATGGGGGTGCATTTGGGGGGTTGTCCCTTGGGGGGGCTGCGGGCATTCTGGGTACGGGAATGCTTGCAGCCGGCAGTCTGGTGAAGGGGAGCGGGGGCCTCTGCTGCTGGCCAATGACGCTGCAACCTGCCATGATAGAAAGGGCAAATGTCCCGCCTGCTGGTCATCTACCTGGCTGGGGGCACCAGCTTCAAGACTAACATCAAGACCTTCACAGTGAGTGCGGGCAGGACAGGAGGCAGGGAAGCTGCAGAACGGGCAGGTGCCCTGACCCAGCCCCTCTCACGGCCCGGCGGGGCTCAGGTGGCCAAGGACGTCCTGCAGCAGCTGTGCGGGAACATGGGCATCACGGACCCAGAGGAAGTCCAGGAGTTCACCCTCTTCCTCAACAAAGGGGAAGGTGTGTCTCCTGGGTGGGGAGGGCACTGCCCGCCAGGGGCGCCCCAGGGGAGGGGGGGGTCAGGCGGCCGCTGTGACGGGGCTCCCCCTAGGCCAGCTGGTGCGGCCCCTGCGGCCCCAAGAGTACCTCAACAGCGTGGTGGCCGATAAGGACACGAGGGTCCACAGCCGCAGGCTGGGCTGGGAGGCCCCGCTGCGCTTCAGCAACCCCATCTACGTCAGCGTCCACTACAGCCAGGTGAGAGGCGGGGCAGTGGGACCCCCTGCCTGGACCCCCCCTCCTGGGACTCAGGCACAGCCTCACTGCTGCCCACAGGTTCAGCTGGACTACGTGCAGGGGAAGCTGCTCATCGGCGCCCATGAGGAGGCCCAGCTGGCCAGGCTGGTGGCCCTGCAGTACCTCAGTGGTGCCCAGGGGGCCCCCGGCTCAGTGTAAGCTGCCCCCACTGTGCATGTGTTGTCCCCCCACGCCCCCACCTGGGCCCACGCTGACCTGCCCCGGTGTCCCCAGGCTGGATCCGTCCCAGTATGTGCCTCAGCCGCTGCTGTCGCAGGTGAACTTGGCTGCCGTCGCGAACCTGCTAAGGCAGGAGCTGCAGCAGTTGCAGGGGTGCAGCGCCCTGGACGCCCAGATCAGCTTCGTTGGTGGGTGTGGGCCCGGGACGGGGGTGGGGGGAGGTGGGCCTGCGGGGGCCCCCATCGCTCACCCGGCTGTGCCTGCAGAGGCTGTGAGTCAGCTGCCGCTGTTCGGCTACACGGCGTACATGCTGCTGCGCGTGAGTGAGCCCACCCTGCCCGGCCTTGGCATCCTGGGCATCAACCGGCAGCGGCTGGTCGTCATGGACCGCAGCTCCCAGGTGGGTCTGGGCCCCGAGGGTGCTCCCGCCCCCGGCCACTGCCCGTGCTGAGCTCCTGTCCCTGCCTGTCCCAGACACAGTGCTGCGCCATCGCCCTGCAGGATGTGCACCAGCTGCGCCTGCTGAGCCCGCAGGAGCACGGGGGCTCCCCAGGCCTGGAGCTGCACTACGGCCCCGCTGCCAGCCCCCACACCATCTGGTTCGAGCTGCCGCAGGTGGGTGGGGACGTGGGGAAGGGATGGGCAGGGGTGCCTGTGCAAGTGTGGGTAAGGGATGGTGTGCTGGTGAGGGTGTGGGCATGGGTGGGCTGGTACAGGGGGGTATGGGGTGCTGAGGGGGCTGGTGCTGGCGGGTGCGGGCTGGCCTAACTCTCGGCACCCCCAGGCTCAGGAGCTGCAGCAAACCATCACCTTCCTGATGGAGAAGTCAGCCGCCCCTTAAAGCCTCAGCCACAGGGGCGGGGGTCCCACAAGAGCTCCCGGACTCAAAATGTGTGCCTGACGGTGCCAGCAGCCACCAGGATCAGGACTGCCTGGCACTGTATTCTGGAACCTTCTGGCTTTGCCCCTGTGACCTGGGCCTGAAGCCCACTGGGAGAGCAATGGTGCCCCAGGGTGGGACTGGGGAGGGGCTGCCGGAACTCGGCCTGGGGGAGCGCCCCCCACCCGCACCTAACCAGGCACGGGAGAAGCAGCTACTGAGGAATAAAAGCTGGAGAGAAGGACTTAGTGGTGGTATGCGGACCCGCACTAGCTTTATTTCTCACCGAGCCCTTCCCTCACCTCTCCCTGGGTGGGAGCAGGGACGGGGCAGAGGCAGGACCATGGGCTCAAGGGCACTTCCTGAGTAAGCCTCCTGGCTGTGGGGCAGCTGGCCTGTGGCCGCCCTCTGGCCTTGAGGGCCGTATAGCGGGGAGGGGGGGTTCCTGAGAGTCAGCGGCTGGTGGGTCTTCCCGCCGGGATACGCCTTGCTGGGGGGATCCAGGGAAGGTCCTCAGGGCATGGGTCACCTCCGGGGGCCCCACAGGTCATGCCACTCGGCTTCGCTCTCGCACCGCGCCCGGCCGTGGAAGAACTGCTCGATGAGGTGCTGGGCCTGCTGCTTCACTAGGTCTGAGGTGGGGGGAGTGTGAACGCCAGCCCCTCCGCAGCCCCCTGCTGCCCCCCAGGGCCGCCAGGCACTCACTGCTCCTCCCCAGAGAGGGCTGCTGGGCCAGCGAATGTGACAGACACCGGGCAAAGCCTTTGAACAGCTCCTGCGGGCAGAGGGGATGAGCAAGGGGCGCCCCAACAGCCGCTCCTACCCCAGTCCACCGCGGTGGCCCCTGCCCACCTTGGATGCAAACTTGCCCTCCTTGTAGAAGGGGGTCAAGCATCGGACCACGACGCCGGCGGCCTCCTTCAGGGACACGCTGGGAGCTGAGGGCTCACTGTCCCCCGGGGCTCTGGGTTTCGAGGTGCCGACACAACCCTCAGCCCCGGGGCTCTTGGCAGGGGTGCACTGCCTCTTCTGGGTTCCGCTGCCAGGGCTCTCCTGGCCAGGGCACAAGGTGTCACCAGGGCTCCCTCCAGGGGGCGCCCGCTCATCCCACCCATCTGTACCTGCTTGGGTCTGGGCCGCTTGGCCCTCTGGGGCTCCTGTGTGGGGCTGGGCTGGCCTTCAGGGGGGCCCTGGTCTCTGCGTGGACAGGAGAGAGCAGGATGCAAGCCCTGGGGCTGGCCACACGCTTTGGGAGTTCCAGAGCACTCCAGACCACCCATGCCCCTTACCTCAGCCCATCCCTGGTGCATTCCTCAGCCCGAGAGGGGGTAGCTGTGTGTCCCGGAGCACCCAGCCCCTTCTCCCCAGGGGTGCCAGCAGGTGCGGGTGGGGCCAGGAAGCGGGTGATGTCCTGCGAGTCCCTGAGGGCTGCCGAGGCCAGGAGCTGCTGCTTCTTGGGGCGGCCCTTAGCCCTGGATGCTCCTGATGCCTTCGTGCTGGGGGAGGGACCCCCACTGTGTGCGCTGCTTTGGGGGATCTCTTCTGGAGGCCCTGGGAGGGACTCACTGCTGTCCTCATCCTGGGGTCTGTGTGGCTGGCTGGGGGGCTCCTGTGGGTCCCCCTTCTCGGGCCTGGGGCTCTCGGCCTGTGTCTTCTCCAGCAGCTCAGACGCTGTCTGGAAAGCGTGGGCGCCTCTGGGGAACCCGGCTCCCACCCGCTTGGGTTTGAGCTGTGAAGGGAGAGAGCGTGTGAACACCAGGCCTTGGCCAGGGAGGATAATCTGGGTGGGTCCCGAGACGGGTGGTGGCACCTGCCCCCGTCCAGTTGGGGGTTGTTGGCGCGCCTCACCGAGTGAGAGGCGGGCGGGATGTCGTATTCATCAGGCTCTGGGGGTGCGGGCTGGGCCCCTCGGCTGCCGGTGGTGTCTGGCACACAGTAGGGCTGCCGGTTCTGGGAGGCTCTGTGGATCTCGGCCACCTGGGCGGGTGGGCAGGCTGCTGTGGCACCAGGAATGGAGCACCGGGCTCCCAGGGAGGGCCGCGGGGGCGGGGTTGCAGCCCACCTTCTTCAGCATGCTGGCCTTGTACACGGTGGCCAGCCTGGCACTCCGGAATGCCTGGTGCTCCAGTTCCACTGCCTCAGCCTGGAGAGTGGGTCTGCAGGGGGTCGGGACCAGAGCTGGGACCCCAGCCCTCCATGGCGCCTCCCCCACACCTCGCCCCAAGCACGGCTCAGCACTGGGGCGGGACTCACCGCCTCCATCCCAGGGAAGAGCTCCAGGGGACACCCACAGGGGGCACTCACCCTATAGAAGAGCCTGTGGCCTGGCAGTTGTCGCTCAGAGCCTCCTCCAGGAGGCGTAGGCAGTGCTCCCGGGCCTGCCAGGGAAGGGCACTGTCACCAGTGACCAGAGGGGAACAGGGGGGTATCAACACACCTGGACGGGTCCGGACTCACCTTCACGGTCAGCTTGGGGATCTTCCTGCTGGAGGCCTCTTTCAGCGGGCAGTCCTCATCTGGGGGAAGAGCAGCCTACCCGCTGGAACGTGCCCCCCAGAGCAGATCCCCAGCCCCCCGTCCGCCCTGGGAACACCTGCCATGCTCACCTGGGGGAACGAACTCTTCCGTCTTGGGGTCCTTGCCCTGGAAGGCGACAGGATGACCTTGAGGAGCCTGCACCCCCAGCAGGGCTGGGGAGGGCTCCAGGCCAGGCCCTCTCCCCACCCCACCCCCCGTCACCTTGCGCAGGCTCATCTGCCTCTGGTAGAAGAGGTTCCACTCCCGCTTCTGGGCCTCGTCTCGGGCCTCGTCCCCGCTGCCTCCAGAGCCTTCATCGTACCTAATGGACAGACCAGTGTGGGTATCCCCACAGGGTCCCAGGGAGAGAAGGCCAGGCTTCCCCGGGGGCACCCCCTCACCTGCTGAAGCCTCCGTAGCCCCTGCGGCCACCCTCGTAGAGCTCTGGGTCGAAGTTGCCGGTCCGGGTGGGCCCCACGCTGGTGCTAGGGGTGCGGCCACCACTGCGCTCCAGGGCGTCCAACTGCCTGCGCACGGCCGCGGGGCTCCGGCAGTAGTCGCAGCCCTTGGGGCAGGCTGGCACAGCATCCCCAAAGTACTTGGCGATGGCAGCGTGGCGGCACCTGGGGTGGGGGCAGGGCAGAGGGAGGCTGAGGGCCCCGCAGGCCAGGGCTGCCCAGGTAACAGGTATGAGAGTGTCTGGGAGGGGCTGTGGCTGCCGCTGTCCAGCCTCTCTGGGCCCCGCAGGCCAGGGCTTTCCAGATAACAGGTATGACAGTGTCTGGGAGGGGCTGCACCTGCTGCTGTCTGGCCTCTCTGGGCCCCGCATGTGCCCTGGGAGGGGCTGGGGTGGGCTTTGGGGAAGCAGCTGGCATCTTGGAGCCCACAAGCTTGCCTGCAAAATGGTGACTTGCTCTGAGGGCCAGGCAGGAGCCTGAGAAACTGCCGGGAGCTATTAATAGGGTTGTGGGGTCGAGGGACGAGAAGGAGGGGCGCGGAAGGGCAGGTGTGTCCCTGGTCAGCTGCAGAGACCCAGTGCGCCAGAGGCCTTCCAGCTGCCCTGTTCCTGCTGCAGGAATGTGCCACATGACAAGGCCACAGGGAGGGCACAGGAGAGGCAGGGCACAGACTCAGTGGCCAGGAGAAGCCTGGCACGGGCTCACTGGCTGGCAGCCACTCACTGGCTTGTCCCAGGGACAAGGGAGCTGGAGCATGGCCACCCAGATGCCTGCCTGCATGAGCTCTGCCTGGCAGTTAGAAACGGATGTGGTGCACTGGGGGTGCAGCTCCAGGTAGAGGCCCGGCGGCCACCAGAGGGCACTGCTCCCCACGTCCCCGTGCTGGGCGCGTCCACCCCGACAGATGCTGGCCCCCAGTGTGGCCACAAGGCTGGCTCCTTGCGCCCCACCCTCTGGGCCTGACTCACTGGCGCTCTGTGCACACTCAAAGGCCCCATTGACAGCACAGATGCTTCTAGCCTGCTCCGGGCACAGCCTGGTCGTCTGCCCTGCCCAGCAGCCCCCCCTTGAAAGCCCCCTGTCTTGCAGAGGGCCAGGTCGGGAGGGTGGAGCAGGCCCTGGCAGACACCCGCAAGTTGGAGAGCAGCTGGTCCCTCTTCCGGGAGCCCAGGAACGGATGGTGCCTCCCTGCAGCGGGTGAGCCTGGCCGCACCCAAGTCACAGGGGACGCCCTAGTTCTCCCCCTAGTAGTCTCTCTGGGTGCTGCTGCTTGGGTGGTCGGGCTGTCCCCACCCCCCATGGTGTTTCCAGGGAGAGGCTGGGGAAGAGGTGCAGGGAGCTGAGGGACGGGTGGGGTGGGGAGGGGGACAGTGCCCAGGGCTCTCCCTCCTGGGGTGGGCAGGGAGGCTAGGGGCCCCACCCTTCCTGCTCTGGCTCAGGTGGAAGCTCCCAGGGGGCACCCCCGCCAGGGAGCCCAGCCGACCTCCTGTTTCATCAGCCCGGCCCAGGCCCAGCCCACAGCCCGCCCCAGGAGCAGGGAGGCGCCGAGTGGGGAGCGGGAGCCGGGTGGGGAGCCCGGGAGTGGGGCTGACAGGGAGCCAGGCCAGGCCAGAATCCGAGCCCCTGGGCCAGAGCCCCAGAGGGATTCCCGCTGCCGCCACCAGCAGTGGCACTGCCCCCCTCCAGGGGCCGCCCCTGAAACCTGACACGAGGATCTCCAGGACGACTTGCCAGACTCACAACAGACGAACCAAGCCGCGGGCGGGCCGGGCTGCAGCTGGCTGTCAGCGGCTGGAGGCGCAGCCTCTCAGCAGAGCTGGGACCCAGGCAAAGGTGGAGCGGTGGCCGGGGGACACCTGAGTTCTCAGGTAAGCCTGAGCCGAGGGAGCAGCCAGGACGCCTGTCACTGCCTACCTCGGGGCACCGTCTCTGAGCCTCAAGGCTGGGGGCCTGGTACCCAGGGACAGGGTCACAGAGGGGCCCGTGCCGACAAAGGGGGAAACTGGCTGTCCCTGGTGTGACAGGACCCCAGGACCAGTGTGCAGTGTGACCCGGTCCAGGGTCTGCCCCATGCTCCTCCCTCAGTCTGCTAAATCCTCGTGTTCCCAAATCTCCTAGAAGCAGAGCATAAAAGCGGCTCTGTGGGAAGGAGGGGACCCCCAGGAACAGGCTGGGGCACAGGCATCTGCTCCACCCTGGACGCTAACCCTGCCAGAATTCCTGTCCTCAGCCTGGGTCAGTCTCCACCCCCAGCCCCCACATGTTCTCCCCCAAGGAAAAACAATGGTCCAGCATGACAAAAGCGGTGGGGAATGGCCGAGTCTGTGGAAGGGTGGCAGGGGGGTGGTCACTAGGAGCCTCTGGTGGCTCTCAGATGCCCCAGGGGTCCCTACAGGGATGGGTCAGAGCTGGGGCAGAAGGAAGGGGCACACAGCCAGGGACCACACCACACCAGGAAGTGATGCTAGCGCTAAAGGTCCCAGCGCTGACTCCCCCTTCAGGGGGAGCCCAGGCAGCCAGGGGTGGGGGCTGCCACTGGAACCCCAGGGTATGAGTTTCAGACAAGGGCAGAGGGGCAGAGGGTGGCTGCGTTTGTAGCTGTGACCCGTCAGGGCCTTATCAGTCCCCCACACACGGGCTCTCCCCTCCCATCCCATGGGCGCACAGGCACAGAGGTGGGGCTGTTCCCCGACTTGTCTGAGGAGATGGGGCAGGACGGCTTCCCAGGTCGGCAGGCAGGAGGAAGTCCAGTTTGGGCAGCATGAGACAGAATTGCCAGGACCCCAGAGGCTTCCCTGCCTTCCTCCCTTCTCAGCGGGGCCTGTGGTGGCTAGCCCCTGGCTCCCCTGCCCAGGACACACTTGGGGCAGTGACCAGTCACCTGACGGCTGTGGGCTATATCAGGCACTGGCGTCAGCACCCTCTTGGCTCCGCTTTAAATAGCCCACTGGGAGCCCAGCCTGGGCACTACTGGAATGTGCGCCCCCCCCCACCCCGGCCTACTGGGCTCCTGCCTAGGTTCTAGCTGGAAAGGAAAGGGGAAAAACCCTCCTGAAGAGCAGGGGTGCCCCTCAGTGCTGGGAGCACGGCAGGGGTTGGTGAGCACACCTGTTAGGGGGCCTGGGATTCAGTCAGCAGCCCTGGGCAGGCCGACGCCCTGCTGCACCCTGGGCTGGGGGTCCTGATGCAGAGCCCATAGGGGTGGCTGACTCTGAAGCCCCATCTCCCCACCCTCTGCCCCCAGGTCCCACCCGGCTCGCAGCCCCCCATTGCCCGGATCATTAGGAAGAGCAGGAGAGGTGCAAACTCCCCTATCCACCCACCTTCTAGTACCTTCCTTGGCTAAGGAGGATCTGTGGCCACATTGAGGACAGCCAGAGCAGAGCACAGGCCGGGGTAGGGGACGGGGGCACCCTGGGAGGACGTTGGGGGTGGCAGGAGAGAGGGAATGGGGGGCTGAGATTTGCGCTGCTCCTGCAGGGGCTGCCTTGGCTTGCTCCGTGCAGAGACTAACTTGTGGCCCTCTCCGTCTCTCCTGTGCCTCGCCACTGTGTCCAAAAGGGGCATCCCAGGCATGAGATTTGGAAACCGGCCTCCATCCTTGCCCATTGTGGGGTGGGGAGCAGCGGCATAAACACCCCCAAGCAGGAGGGACACAGGGATGGGGGTCCACACCCCCAAGGTCGCCTCCACCCCTTCCTGAGGGCTGAGCACATTCCTAGGCCAGAAGCCTCTCAGGAAAGGGCCAGAAAGCAGCAGGGCAGGCAGAGGACTGGACCGCGGGGAGAGCATTGTCTGGTGCCGGCCAACCAGATCCAATCTATGGCACCCCCTAGGGTCCGCCCAGCCTACCTGGAGTGATCCCCGAGCACCGCTGGGCATAGTCCCTGAACGAAACAAAAGCAGCAGGGCAAGACAGGGGGTCCAGTAGGTGACAAGCCACAAGGCGGCTTCCCTCAAGCCCAGGACAAAAAAGCGGCAGGAGGGGAAGCTGCTGCCCCTGTAGGTGGGCACCCCAGCTGCTGCCCACGTCCTGAGGCCAGGGAGGCAGAGGGTGGGGTGATCTAGTGGGGGACAGGGGAAAGGCCCCACCTTCTAACAATCAGGAAATGGGTGGGGCCCCACCACACCCAGGGGGCTCAAGCAGGGCCCACACAGTGCGGACTCGGGGTGGTCCTTCCTGGCTATGCCGCCGGGCACCACCACTTCACTTGGGCAGAACCTGCCCGGCTGCCCAGTTGCAGCGGTGGTAATTAGAGCACAGGGTTGGCCCCACTCTGGGCCAGCTGGTGCCCATCCTTGGGTCCAGCGGGGCAGGCTCAGGCTAGGGGTACAGTTGTGTACAGAAGCACTGAGTTCTGAAGAGGTGCCCAGCTGGGTGGGAACACCCCAGGCACAGTAGAGGACACCCCGGTCAGGTCAGAGCAGCAGATCAGAGAGACCTGGGGAGGCTTCGAAGGCCTGTGTGGCCAGGGGTAGCGGGGAGCCCAGTGGTCGAGGGAGGGACCTGTATTGGCATCAAACAGGAAGCCCTGCCTTGGTCGTCCACGCCTTGCAGAGGGGCCCGGTCACACTGGCACTGCCACTTGCCTGCTGGGCAGTGCCAGCTGCGGGGCTAAGTGGGGGGCCCCCTGCTCTGCCTCCAGCGCAAGAGCGGGATGGGTGAGACCCGACAAACCCGTTCTGCGGGCGTGGGGACCTGGGTCCTGCGCTCACCGTCCTCCCGCTGGCCTCTCTCTGCCGCCCCAGCATGGCAGCCGCCGACCTGGACTTCGTGCAGGAGATGCGCGCCGTGGGCCAGAGGCTGCTGCTCAAGCTGCAGGGGCTCCCCCAGGCTGAGCCCGTGGAGGTGGTGGCCTTCTCCATCCTCCTCCTCTTTGCAGGTCAGGGTGGGCCCTTCCTGCTGGGGGGGAGGGGGCTGGCAGGGCGGGAAGAGGACCCTGGCCCCCCAGCCTGGGGACAAAGAAGCTGGGCTCTGGCCAGGATGCCTGTCCCCTGGGAAGTGCCCCCTTTCCCCCTCCAGCCCCATGAGCTGGGCTCTGCCCCCCTCACCTAGGCTGTGTCCCCCCAGGCACAGTCCTTCTGTTCCTGCTGATCGCCTGTAGCTGCTGCTGCTCGGGTTGCTGCTGCCCAGAGCCCAGGGCCAGGAAGGTCCAGGTGCGGCCCCTGACCCCAGCGTGACGACAGCGACGTAAACGAAGAGCAGGCAGGGCGGGGGCAGCCAGCCCCGAGCTGGGCCCTGAACCCCCGCACTTCAACACCCATATGGGGCCCATTCCATCAGACTCGCCCCTGCCAGGAATCCGGGTATTGAGGCCGCCGAAGACAGGAAGCCTGCGGGGAGTCCTTCTGATCAACAGCTGCGGGAGCCCACCAGGCCACATATCAGTATTGGGGCCCAGGGTCAGCGCCAACCTCCTTTCCCAGTAAAGTCTTTGGCTCCTGGGTCTCTGGCTGGGGGCCAGGAGCTGTCCTTTCCTGGCCTCTGCACCCAGGGTGCCCAGGAAAGCTGGAAAAACACCGGCAGGGCGGGAGCATGGAGTCCTGCCCGCATGAGTGGCTGCGTGCCCACCCCCAGACCCCAGCAGGCTCTGCACTCTGGCCCTATGCCTCATTCTCGGGGTTCAGGTCCTTGCTCTGCTGCTCAGCCATGCAAGCACCCCAGTCACATTCCTGTCCCTGTGAAACGGGGTTTCTAGGGGGGGCCCCTCCTGGAGCAGAAGGCGATGACACCCAGGACCATGCGCTGAGCCCCTCTGCCAGGGCTGTTCCTACAGAGAGTGACACGACCTGCCTTGCCCCTGCCCCCAGTCCTCCAGAGAAGGTTCCAGAGATAGTTGCTGAGTAGGAGGGAAGAGAAGAGGGTGGGGATCCTTTGGACCCCAGCCCAGAGAGTGAAGCACCTGATCTTCTCACAGGCCTCCCTGCTCTGGCTCTGGGGCCACAGAGGCCGGACAGGCAGGGCCCGGGCAGCCGGCCTCCGTCTCCAGCTGGCCGTGGGTGCAGCTCACGCAGGCCAGTTTCACTTCCTGGTGTCCACAGACCTGTCCGACGGGTTAGGCGTGGGCTGGAGCCCCAAAAGGGAAGTGCTTCTGTGCCCGAAAGAATCTGGCCGCACCCTCCACCCAGCACACCCCGAAGGACGGGACCCAGGTGATGGGGTGCTGAAACCCGCTGCCTCTGCGGGTGGGGTTCACCCCTCACTGCCACCTCACCATCCCCTTTCTAGAGATGAGAACGTCGATAGTCACGCAACATGCAATCCGCTAAAAGAGGCGGGGCTGGGGAGAGGGCTCAAGGCAGGCCTGGGGACAGCTCAGAGGGACGACACAGACTCTGCACGCAGGAGGCCAGGGCTGGATCCTGGCACTGCATGGTTCCCCGCCGGTGTTTTTCCAGCATGGAGCCAGGAGTGGTCCCCTAAGCGTGACCCAGCGTGACCAAAAGCAAACCCAGTGGCAGAGTCAGCCTCTGTCTCTCCCCCTGACCACACAACCCCCAGGGGCCCAGTCTTCCCTGATTGCTCTGGATCCCACTTCCCAAACCCTGCCCTACACCCCAAACTCCCACAAGTTTGTGAATGGGGGGGGTCCACAGAGCCCTGCTAGAAGATAAGATAGGCCTCCGCTCGCTCTTGTCCCCCACGGCCTATACCCAGACGTCCCTCCGCGTCGCATCCATGCTGCTGTTCTTGGGCCACAGTCAGTCTTCTGCCTTGTACCAGGCAGTGCCCGCTTCTCCTACAGCCAGTGCCGAGTGCCAAGTCCCAAGGAGATGTGGGAGCTGCCCTTGGGGGCCCACCAAGCCCCACCACCGGTGTCCCCACCCACCTCCAGCTGCTAGACCCTGTCCTACCCACCCGCAGCCCAGATCTGCAACAGTACTCAGGGCTTCTCAATGGGCGGGCATGGAGAGGGGCCAGCGCCGGCCCAGCCCGCCGCCCCCTCTACGCCGATGGCAGAGACTAAATATGGTCCAGCAAGGTGGGGTGGTTCTGGAATAGGTTGCGGCTGTCTGAGGCTGGAGACCAGCAGGGATGCAGTTCGCCCCCTCCCCCCCGCCGTAGGCTCTGCTGCATTTCGGTTCCTCAGACATGCGCCTGCTGCCACAGGGCTCAACCATGCCAGGGCCTCAGCAGTGGGGACAGGGCGGTGTGGTTCGAGCATCCCACTTCTCAGTGTGCTCAAGGGCAGCATTTCAATTGCAGGGGTACACCATCCGCCGCCCCCACAGGTCCCAGATAGGGACTCCCGGCTGGGGGTTGTTCTGGGGCCCCAGCATGGCGCACACTGTGTAGGGGAGTACTGGAGTGCAGGGAACCTCGGGAGACTGGACCCGTTGACAGGAGCCACGCCTTGTAACCGCTCCCAGGGGGTTGGTGCTCCCCACCCTGTGCCTCAGCTCTACCAGAAGCCATCAGTGACTTTGCTGAGTGACCAGGACTGGGTTCCTCCCACACCGGCGGGAGTTACTGTCATTATTTGTGGTAACAGTCAACTTTATTTTTGCCATTATTCTGGGGGCCGACAAGGGCCACACCCAGAGGTGCTGAGGAGGGGGCATGTACCAGGGAACAAATCTAGGGCTCTACCCAGTCCGAGATGTATTTATTATTAACATTATTATTAAACTTCTTTGGAGGACTTTTTCTCTTGTCAGTCTGTTTGATGCTGGTTATCAGCCAGATCAGAGGAGCCCATGAGGGCAGGGAGAATGGCCTCACCCCCAGAACAGCTGGTGGGACACGGGACCGGCCCTCCTATACGGCCCCCGAGCCATACGAGAGTGACTCCTGAGCGCAGAGCCAGGAGTAAGCACTAAGCACAGCAGTGTATGCCCCCCCCCCCCAAACAAAACCAAAAGCCAGAGCAGCCGTGCGAGTCTCCCCATATCCCCATAGGCTGCTGCGGGAAGGACGGCGGGTCGCGCTGGAGATGGGGGCCCACTACAGCTCTGAGCAAAGTGCTCTGCTCTCTGGATCCTGCAACTTGCCGGCCTGTCATCTCCATCCTCTCTCCTCTCTGGTTTCTGGGTTACTGCGGACAAGGGCACCCCCTCAGCCTTCCCATCACCTCATCTTCTTCAACCCACCCTGTCAGTGTAACTGTTTCCGTATCGGCGACCCACTGCAAAGATCTAGCAAAGGATGCTGGAGTCTGTATGCCATGCACGGTGTCTGCTGGTCTTGTTTTAAACTAAAAACATATTTCCAAAATATTAAAAATACATATACGCCCTGATCCAGTGGTTCCACTCAGTTACCTGAAGAACACAAGAACAATCTGAGGCCGGAGCAAAGATACAGCGCAAAAGGCGCCTGCCTTGCACGCAGCTGACTGGGACTGGATCCCTGGTATCCCATCTGATCCCCGAAGCACCACCAGGAATGATTCCTGAGTACAGAGCCGCAAGTAACCCCTGAGTATCACTGGGTGTGGCTCCAAAAACAAAAACCAAAACAAACAAAAACAAAAAGACAAAATCCTATTCATTTAAAAAAGACACACGGGGCGCAAGAGAACAGGGGTGAGGTGCTGGACTTGCACATGGCCCATCTGGGTTCAATCCCCAGCACCACAGAGGGTGCCCGAGCACTGCCAGGAGAAACCCTTGTGCACTGCTGGTGTGACCCAAACCCCTCTAAATACACACACAGGGGTGGATACGCACCATAGGCAGAGAGTGTCTTGTATGTATGAGGTCCTGGATTCAACCCCCTGCAGTGCCTGGTACGACCTTAGAGGGCTCCTGAGCAGAGCCAAGTATAGCCCCTGTGACTTAAAGAATACACACACACACACACACACACACACACACACACACACACACACACAGAGGCATGCACGCACACCTATGCTCACTGCAGCACTACTTGTAATAGCTGATACCCGGAAACAATCTGAGTGTCAATCATACATAAAGATAAAGATAAAATCATACATAAAGACAGTCACATAGTCACACATAAAAAGATGTGGGGGTTGGAGCGATAGGATAGTGGGGAGAGTGTTTTGCCTTTCGTGCAGTCAACCTAGTTTGATCCCCAGTGCCCCATATCCCCAGCGCCTTGCGTGCGGTCAACCTAGTTTGATCCCCAGCGCACCAGCGCTTCCAGGAGCGATCCTTGAGCCAGGAGTAAGCCCTGAAAACTGCTAGTATGGCTCATAAACCAAAATCAAAACATAAATCATAAAACGAAACAAAGCAATGTGGTCTGGAGTCAGAGAGAGATCAATAGCAAGGTGTGGGCCTTGTACACAAGAGGCCCGGGTTCAATCCCCAGCACTATGGATGGAACTGGGGAGGGGTGTGTGTGATGATGACGCCAATCAGCAAGGAAAGTACTGGACAATCCCACTCACACAATCCTCGGGAAACACACCAAGGCACAGGCAAATGAATATACACCCTTGGATCTGGATCATAGACATGAGGTCACTGAGGGGAGGAAGCTGGGGGCTGAGGAAGGAAGAGGGGCCAGCAGGCCATGGCAGAGGGACACTGACACTTAGGGGCATGAAAATGTACCCCTAACCCCGGTGCAGCGAGCTAGTGTCAACTCCGTACAAAAGCAGAAAAAAATCCAGCACAGGAAGGAGCCTTAACAAACAGCCGGACCTTTCTCTGTGTGGGTTTTACTGGCTAATTTTGGTTCCCCTGAAGCAGAACAAGAAGTTAAAGACAGCTGCGTGGAGATGTGTGAAACCCTTCTGGGTTTGTATAAATGCTCAGCTGGTGTGTCTGTCTGTTCTGACAGTGGACAAATGGGCATTTATAAAAACAATTGCCCTGGAGCGATAGTACAGGGCCTGGAGCGACAGTACAGTAGGTATCTCCCTTGCACGCGACTGATCCGGTTCCATCCCTGGCATCCCATAGGGTCCCTTGAGCACCAGGAGTGATTCCTGAGTGAAGATGAGTAAGCCTGAGCATCGCTGGGTGTGGCCCAAAAACAAAAAGGAAAGAAACATCTGCATGCTCGAGGAGTGTCCTGACTCCATGTGGGCTCCGTGGTTCAAACCCATTGGCTATGCAGCCGTGGGTAAGTTACTGGGCCTCTCTGGGCCTGTTCCCCTGCTCTGACGGTAGGGTTTTGGCTATTAATGCTGCTGCATTTTTAAGGAAATGTTAGGCATAATTATGTAATTATAAGTACAAGGCAACCATCACAAACAGGTTCGGGAACAAACAAGTGTCTCCTGATAAGTGTCTGCCCCACCATGGAGCGGAAGCACAGCCGGAAGCAGCTGGCTGGTGGCCATGCCTCCTAGAAGGCGGTGCCAGGTAAGCCTGGGCACATAGGAGCGTGGCTGCTGGAGGCCTTGCTCATCACCTGCCTCCCGGGGCCTGGTGGCATGCCAGTATCCCCTGCACCCTGTCCCCTGCACAGCACCACTGAGATGACCGGTAGTGCTCAGGGAGATGGAGCTGCTGGCAGGTGGCAGCCGGGGCACTCAGATGGGAGCTGTCTGGCAACAGCACCCCACCCCCACTTCAGAGCTATCCTGTCACATCAGGCAGAGCAAGACCAACCACAGGAAGTGGCTAAGGCTGGGACTGGGGACAGACCAGATACTGCAGGAGAAGCCAGGCCTCCCTCCCCAGGAACCAGGGCCTCGATGGCGATAAACACTCGCACCCAGAAACCGGTTCCAGGAGGAGTCAGTCAGACCTGTGGTTAATCATCCACCTGCACCCCAGGACGTGGAGCTGGGTGGCAGCTCCGGTCCCACACTTCCCGGTTCTGGGCACTTTCAGGTCACCGAGGCAGAAGACAAGAGGAGGGCACACCCCATGGAAGGCGGGCAAGTGGCAGGGGGCTTGGGTTCTGAATCCAGCCTCTCTGCCCATCTTCCACCTGGTCTGACTTCTCTCAGGCGACTCCAGAGAGAAGTGCCCTAAGCAGCCCCCCAAAGCCACCTGACAAAAGGGCAGAAGGTGGCCAAGGGGGTAAGTGTGGGGCTGGAAGGGAACGCGGTCGCCAGGCAACGGCCCGTCTGCCTTTGTTTGCGCTGGTGATAGTAGAGTCTGATCAGGGCCTCTGGGCAATGCGGTCACCTCCCTGCTCCACAGCCTGTCTCTGAGCCAGGGAGCAGCTCCAGACCCCAAAGTGTGGAGCCCGAACAACTGCCCACCCCGGTCTCTCTCAGGACACAGGATCACTAAGGCCAGATCAGGTGAGCCCTGGCCCTAGTCGTAGCACCCCAACTGCCCTTCATAGCCGTGTGTCCGGAAGCTAAGCCATGGCCCCGGCTTCCAGAGGCCTCCAAGGTGGGGAGGGCACCAGGGACCACCGTGATACCTGGCCAACCAATGTGGGGGGCCGCCAAAGCCACCCGAGGCTCTCAGGAGAGGGGTGCAGTGCTGGGGATCAAACTCAGGGCCTTGGGCACAGGAGGCCTGTGATTGTGCTGTCTCCCTGTCCCCCTCCACAGAGGCTTGCTGGGTCTCATCCCCTCCTCAGGGCCCCTGCTAACTCTCAAAAGGCTCCTCCAAAGCTAGCCAATGGGGAAGGAAAACAGGGCTGGGGGTACTTCGGAGGTGTCGGGGAGGCCCCTAGCACGGCCGTTAGGGGCACGGCTGGAGACTCGGAGGCATAGGGGAGGTCCTGGGGCCCCTCTCTCAGCCCCGTCCACGGCTCCTGCTGGAGGTCTGGTGCCCCTCGTACCCAATCCCTGTGCCCCCTCTGTACTCTTTTGGGGATGGCTGCAGAAGGGCAGTTGGACAGAACGGGAGGGCTGGGGGCTCTCGCACTCAGGGCTGTCCCCTGTTTCCAGGCCCACATGGATGTCCTGACAAAGCACAGGCAACTGTGGAATGAGGAGTACTGGCAGAACCCCTGGGACGAGGGGGGCCTGGCTGTGATCATCTTGTTCATCGCCATAATCCTGTTTGCCATCTTGTTTGCTGTGATCTTTCGGACCGTTCCTCCTCTTAAGAGTGACAAGAGTGACAAGCAATAACCGGCAGCGGACACGCAGGGAGCCAGCTCTCCACCCGCGCCCCCTCTCCAAAGCCCTGTGACAATCTGCAAATACATGGTTTTCCCGGGGCTCTGATGGGCGTCTGTCTTCCTCACTGGACAGTCCGCCTAGGAAGTGGGGACAGGCCCCTGGGCTCACCACTGTCCCCCCAGGGCCAATATGCCTGGCACGGCACCCCTGTCAACACCGAGGAAACGAACGAACAGAAGAGGCAGGGCTGCGGATCCAGCCCAGAGATCCCAGGAGGGGGCACAGAGCCCCGCTCGGAGCAGCACGAGCCTCTGGGCCAGAGGCAGCCTCCCACCTAACTACACTCAGATAAAAGCGCCACTGTGAACAAACAGCCCTCCTTCCCCAATACACTCAGGGAACCGTGGGCCCACCCCCATCACATGGACCCCACTGACTTCCTTGCTGGTCCCAGAGACGCCCAGGCACAGCTCACGATCTCCCATGCTTCCAGACCCGGCAACTCTGTGTGGAAAAGTACCCGCGTTGATTGTCACCCTGCCTTGGAGCAGTGGGTCCACATCTGCCTGGAAAAGGCAAGTTGTAGAAAAAGGGCAAATGTCGGGGGTGGGGGGAAAGGGCATCCCCACATACTGGGCGCCATTTGTGCAATTGAGAAATTTTCCCTTAGGGCTAGAAAGATAGCACAGCGGGTAAGGCGCTTGCCCTGCATGCAGCTGACCTGGGTTCGATGCCCAGCACCACATAGGCAAGGGTCTCCTGAGCCTTGCCAGAAATGGTCCAAGTGTAGAGCCAGGAGTAACCCTGAGCGTCACTGGGTGTAGCCTTAAAATAAACTTAAAAAAAAATTAAAAAAGAAAGACACTTTCTCTTTTCCTCAAAGAGCAGTTCTGAAGGCAGCTACATGGCAGTGCCCCAGGGTATACCAGGGCCTCATGCCCTGGTATCTGGTCCTTTCCACAGCAAATGGAGAGGAGAGGAAGAGAGGGCTCCACCCCTGGGCCCCTGCCCTGGCAGGACTGAGGAAAAAAGGCAGTCACATTTCCCTCGAGCCCTACAGACTGATCCCAGACAAGACCCCAGCAGAACCGCTGGCAACAGAGGGGACTGACAATCATATTATAAGGACTTGGCTCAAGAATCCTGGAAGATCTGACTTAACAACATGCTGCATTCAGGCCCAAGACGGGTTTGGGGGGCCATGGTGGTAGGTCCAGTACTGTGGACGAATCCATGGGCTCCTGAGAAAGGAGGCTGTGGGCGGGAGGATGCCTCAGTCCAGGAGCCACTTCCTGGTGATGGAATGAATGGTGGGGAGGAGGCGGGTGTGGCAAAACGAAGTAAATAAGAACCCCTGGTTTCTACAGCAGAGTCCCCAACACCTGCCCAATGTCACTTCTTTGCCCTCACACGAGCAGGTGCCTCTGAGAATGGCCTGAGGCTGTGAGCCTAGACCCCTATTCTGGGCGTGATAAAGTCTGAGCCTCTGCTGGCTGGTACCCTGAGGGCCTGTCACAGATGCCCAGGACTTCGTGCCTGCATTGGAACCTCACACAGTACTCAGTGCTGATCAGGCCCAGTCCCTGCCCTGCCCCAGTCTGCTGGCCTTCATCCACTCGCAGGGCCTTAGGCCCAGAAAGCAAAGTGGGTTCCAGGAGGTGGTTCTGCGCATGTTCATCATCCCTGCCCACTAGACTCTCAGACCAGGTCCGGGATGACTGATCATGGGAGGTTCAGACAAGTCACACGCGGACGCCAGTCATACCATGGCATGAGTGCTCCCCCTGCTGGGGTTTCTGAGGCATAGGCAGGAAGCGGGAGGCCTTCCTACCTCCACTCCTCCAGCAGCCTTGGGGAAGCAGGGGTGCTGGGGTTGGCTAACACTCTCAAACAATTCACTATGCAAACAGAATCAGACACTCACCCCGATTCTTCACAGAAGGCCACCAGGGCCTCGAAGGCCAGCACAGAAGCTTTGTCAGATGGTTTGTTCCCCCTCTTTTCCTGGTGACAAAAATAAACACACAAAAAAACAGCCAATTAGCAAGAGTCCCAGTGGGCCTCCCTTGCACCCCAAAAATGCTGAGGGAGAAAAATGAGAAATGGCAAAACCAATTAGATATCAGGATCCCAAAACCTGGCCACACAACAGAATCCCTGGGACTACATGGAATGTACGACTGAATGTTCTGAAAATGGACCTTCTGGGAGCTGGTTCCTTAAAAAGTTGCTTAGGAACAGGCCAGAGAGATGGTACAGTGTTTGCCTTACACATGGCTGACCTAAGTTTGATTCTCAGCATCCCATATGGTCCCCTGAGCCCACCAGGAATGATCCCTACGTGCAGAGTTAGGAGTAAGCCTGAGCGCTACCAGATGTGACTTAAAAAAAAAAAAAGTTGGCTGAGGAGAGGTAGTGCAGCAGGCTGCTTGCTTGCATGTGGAAACCTCATTTCTATCGCTGGTACCCCATATGCTTCCCCCAGCATCACCAGGGTGACCCCTGAGCAGAGAGCCAGTAGTCAGCCAGAGCACTGCTGGGTGTGGTGCCCCCCACCATCCTCAAAGAGTTTTTCAGGGAGGTCTCCAATGCCCATGGAATGGCCCTGGGGAGCCTGTAGGGTGTGATCTAAGTCAACAGTGAACGCATGTGCGTGTGCACATGGGAGCTCACACATGAGACAGCGCCACGGTCATGGCCATGCGCCACGGGTGTATAAGGGCGTGCACCAAAGACAAACCAGTCACTTCTGAGCAGTAGCACTGTAAGTTAGCTGCCTCTTAGGTGCATCTGTTAAAATGTCTCTTTAAAAAATGTGTGCTCATACCACTCCTGGGAATATATCCCAGAGAGGCAAAAAAGTATAGTCGAAGTGACATCTGCAATTGTTTGTTTATTGCAGCACTCTTTACAATAGCCAGAATCTGGAAAAAACCTGAGTGCCCGAGAACAGATGACTGGTTAAAGAAACTTTGGTACATTTACACAATGGAGTACTATGTAGCTATGAGAAAAGATGAAGTCATGAAATTTACATACAAATGGTACTACATGGAAAGTATCATGTTTACGCGAAATGAGTCAGAAAGAGCGGGATAGACACAGAAAGACTGCATTCATCTGGGGAACATAAAGCAACAAAATGGGAGATTAACACCCAGGAGTGGCTGAGATTAGTACCAGGAATTTTGTTCCATGACTTGGAGGCCAGCCACATGTGCTAGGGGAAAAGGAAGCTCAGATAGAGAAGAGAGCACCAAATAAAGGGTGTTGGGAGGATCCTCCCAGGGTGGGAGAAGCATGCTGAAAGTAGACTATAGACCAAACACGATTGTCACTCAATGCCTCTCTTGCAAAACACAGGACCCAAAATAAGAGAGAGAGAACAAGGGGGAATGCCCTGCCACAGAGGCAGGGTGGGATGGGGGAGATGGGGGCGTGGGAGAGATGCTGGAACCCATGGTGGTGGAGGATGGGCGCTGGTGGAGGGATGGATACTTGATCACTGTATAACTGAAACCCAAACACAAAAATTTGTAAGTCTATAACTGTACCTCATGGTGTTTCACTAATAAAAAAATTTTTTTTAAAAAAAAGGTATGCTCCCTGAAACAAACCGAAACAAAATGCTCATGTGGCTGAGATCTCATTGGGATAGGAGTATGCTGGGGTATCTGAGACAAAGTGCTTCTGTGGTCCAGCAGTGCCAGGGGCCACCAGGGATACTACCTGGCAGTTCCAAGGCTCAGGACTGGGGCACGGCTTATTCAAGGCAGGTACTTAAGCCCTAAGCCATCTAGATGATTCCCCAGATCATGAGACTAAAAGACTACAGGAAAGTGGGGCTTGGGGGGGATGGAGAACAGGCTTTGTACATGGGAACCCAGAGTCCCAGCATCAGCTGCTCTGCTGAGCACTGCTGGGACAAACTCCTGAACACCGATCTGGGTGTAGCCTCCAAACAAAAACAAATAAATACTATGGGAAAGTCGAGAAAATAGAGCAGACAATGATCTGAGGTCATCTGAGATCTGCCACGTCACTACCTTTCGGGAAGGCGAGTCACCCACTTCCAACACAAGCAGGCCAAACAGCAGCTGTGCCCCGCTCTCCCAGAGTTCATGCCACAGTTGCTGGCCGAAGAGTGACTTTCCTATTGACAGCGCTGCCCAGAGCAAAACCCTCTGAAGACACTTTCCCACGTCCTGCAATCAATTCCCTTTCTGGTACAGCTTCACCTTCCTTGAAGCTAATGGCTGTTTCAAGAAGCTAATGCCTCTTTTCCTCATTGATTTAAAGTTTAGTGTCTCCTTAATCTGCTCCCAACCGTTCTTTTATTCCTTTTTTTTTTTTTTTTTGCTTTTTAGTCACACCCGGGATTACTCCTGACAGTGCTCGGGAGACCATATGGGATACTGGGGCTCAAACCCGGGTTGGCCGTGTGCAAGGCAAATGCCCTACCTTCTGTACTACTGTTCCGGCCCCCAGGACAGATTCTTGAGTGCACAGTCAGGAGTAAACCTTGAGCACCACCAGGTGTACCCCTTATAACAAAAAAGAAATGCAACTACTATTGCTTCAGCCCTGCTCCCTACTGTTCTAACAAAAACAAAACAAAACAAAACAACTCGCTTCAGAAGGGGGCCCAGACTTATCTTCCAGTCCTGAGAGATAACAGCCTGGTGCTTAGAACTCTTTCCCACACACTAAATATGATCATATGATTGGGCTGGAGCAACAGTACTGAGGGGAGGGCACCTGCCTGCCCGCAGCCAACCCGGGCTCAATCCCTGGCACCACATGTTCCCCAAGTCATGCCAGGAGTGATCCTTGAACAAAGAGCCAGGATTAAGCCCTGGTGTGCCTCCCAAAACCAACCATATGTACCCATATGTACGTATAATCACAACTTCAAATCCCTGATGTCCCATATGTATAGAGTCTGTTTACCCACCATAACTTGTAGATAAGAGCGTGTGTATAACCAGCAACTAAAGGACTGCAAATAAAGGACAGAAATACAGATGCAGGTTTCCACTTTCAAAACTTCCTTCCTGGAGCCTTCTATAGTCCCAGATCAGACTGGACCGCTGTGCTCGGCCAGGTCTCAGACCTAGGGACTTTCCTGGGACAGTCCCTTTGCCTGGCCCCTGCGACAGAGACCATCCTTTGTAGCAATAGGAAGTTGTTTGAAACCTTGTATGTGGACTCTTTCCTACATTCACACTTAGCCGGAGAGAACATTCTAGAACATTCTGAATTGGAAGGCATTTGCAGCACTACAGTCTCCTCACTGGTCTGACAGAAAGAAGACTAAGGTTCTGCCAGCTCCCAGGCCTTCATGTCTCTGGAAGCTTTCTGGAGCCTCTCTTTCCCTAGAAAAATCTTGAATATCTTATTGAGGAACGTAGTGTGAATTCATGCAATTCCATTGTTAGCAGGTTTGGGTTTGGGGCTTTTTGTTTCTGTTGATGCTTAGGAATGATTCCTGACTCTACACTCAGGAATTATTCCCAGCAGTGCTCTGGGGACCATATGGGATGCTGGAAATTGAATTGGGGCAACTGGGTGCAAGGTAAGTGTCCTACCCACTATACTATTGCTCCAACCCCCTGTGTTACTAGGTCTTAAATAAACACCTATACCTATCACCTTGTCAAAATGCTTTCCTTGTTTAACTTAGATTTCAGGTGAAAGACATGAATGAAGCATGCCCAAGTTACTCTGGGTTCCTCACGTTCTTTGTTTGGTTTTGGACCATATCTAGTGCTTCTCAGGGTTACTTCTGGCTTGGACTCAGGAATCACTCCTGGCAGTGCTCAGGGGACTGTTTGGGATGCCGGGGATTGAGCCTAAGTCACACACAAGGCAAATGCACTACCCACTGTGCTACTACTCTCGAGCCCTGGACTCTTGTATTTGGAAGTTTAATAGGTGCGGGGTTGAAGAGATAGTACAGAGGTTAAGGATTTTTTTTTCTTTTTGGGTCACACCCAGCGATGTACAGGAATTACTCCTTTCTTTGCATTGAGGAATTACTCCTGGCGGTGCTCGAGGGATCATTGAGATGCTGGGAATCAAACCCGGGACAGCCACATGCAAGGCAAACGCACTCCCCACTGTACTATCGCTCCAGTCCCAGTACAGGGGTTAAGAAGCTGGCCTTCCATGTGGCTGAACCTGGTTCGATTCTCGGCACCACAAAGGGTCCCTCATCTCCAAGCTCAGCCGAGTGTGACTCAACCCTGCTCCCCTCAAAAAGAACCCATAGATGTTGCTAGATTGCTTTCCCCTTCCCGCAAAAGGATGTAATACTTCATTTTCCTTTAGGCAAAGTACAGGCTTTTTCCTCCACATGCTCACTTGCAACAAATGGGTCTTAGAGCTCTTTTACATACCTGTCAAATAATTTCAATTTGATTTGCATTTCTCTGATTACTACTCAATCTGCCCAGCCCTGGACATGCCAGATGGGTAAGCTTTTCTGAGAATCTGCTTTTTATAGACTTTGCTTTTCATATCTTTAGGTTTTCTTTTTCTGTCAACTGATAAAAAATAGGCTCCTTAAAATCTTTCAATTGTGTCTACCTTATATGTTTTTATCTACCTTATATGTTTTGGAGGTACAGGGATCAAACCCAGGTCTTCCACATGCAAAGCATGTGCTTTACCACTGAGCTACATCCCCAGCCTCTATTGTAAATGTTTTTTTCTCTATCACTTATCTATCAATGTTGTTTATGCTCCTTTTGCAATTAGGCAGTTCTGGGTTGTTTGTTTGTTTGCAGTGGGAGTTACATCTGTGGTGCTTAAGATTTACACCTGGCTGAGCCCAGAGATCATTCCTGGCAGTACTGGGGGACCGTATGCAGTTCCAGGGTTCAAATGGGGCCAGTCGAGTACAAGCTAGGTACCTCACCCCTGTACTAACTCGGGCTCCTTTAATCATGTTATCTTTCGCTGTTATTTTTTTTTCATGGGTTTGTAATTTATAGAAATACAAGCATTTTTATAATCAATTTGGGGACAGGGCCTCCCAAACACAAAGGCCCAACTGGTGATTCCAGCCTGTGTTCAGTGCGAGAGGTGGAGAATGCCATGCTGCTCAAGCATGTGGAGTTTGGGGGTCTCCAGGGCTGTACCCAGTGAAGTTTGGGGGACTATGCGGTGCCAGGGATCTTTCCAGGGCCGGGTGCATGTAAAGCATGAGCCTTAATCGCTGTGCTACCTCTCTGGTCCTTGAAGTGTTTACTTAAGGAAAAGAGAAAGTGTGGAGCTGGAAAGATAGTACAGCAAGTAGGGTCCATGCCTTGCATGCAGCTGATCCAGGTTTGATCTCCAACACCCCATATGGTGCCCCAAGCCCCACCAGGAGTGATCCTTGAATGCAGAGCCAGGAGTGAGTCCTGAACACTGCCAGGTGTGGCCCAGAAATTAAAACAAGAACAAAAATGAAAAAAAGGAAAAGAGAAAGTAGCTAGGACATTAATTCCAAGGAACAAATCCTTCTGCTAAGCTGACTGGCTCCCTCAAGCAATAGACACTCACACATTCTGGCACCTGGGTCCTGCAGCGGGTCTGGGATTGTACAGAACAGATCCCAAGGGCTCCTAAGTGGGCTCTGAGGGGTAGGCAGGTGCCCCTCACCGTCCTTCCCTCTAACTGGTTCTGGGCACACACTTTACCTATAAATTTTAAGATTCTCCTTCCACTAAAACTCTGCTGGGAGTTCAAACAGAACTTCATGAAATATTCATATTTGCCTTTCAGAGGGAATAACTGTGTCACATGTTTTCACTCAGTTTTGATACCTATTCTGTGCCTATTTTGTGAAGATTCCATGCTCTTGGTTAGTTTGGTCTTTGTGCGGGTGGGATGCTGGGAGGGAACTTGGGGCATCATAAGTGTGCAGTATGTGCCCACCTCTGAGCCACATTTCTGGCCAGGCTCCTTTCAGGCAGTGGATTTTTTTTCTTTTCTTTTTGGGTCACACCCGGCGATGCTCAGGTCAGGGGTTACTCCTGGCTCTGCACTCAGGAATCACTCCTGACAGTATTGGGGGACCACATGGGATGCTGGGAATCGAACCCAGGTCGGCCGCGTGCAAGGCAAACGACCTCCCCGCTGTGCTATTGCTCCAGCCCCCAGACAGTGAATCTTGACCAGAGACAGAGAACAGGGGTTAAGGCTCTTGTCTTACATGTAGCTCACTTTGGTACAATCCCTGGCATTGTGTATGGTGGTCTGGGCAACACCCAGAATGAGCCCCTAAGCACAGGGTCAGAAGCAGCACTTGAGCACTGTCAGGTATGGCCCCCAAACTGGGGGAAGGGGAGAGTTGGTTCTTTTCTGGGGAATGCGGGTAGTTGGGACACACATGGCAGCACTCGTGGGTCATTCCCAGTGATGCTCAGGGAACCATGCACTGCCGGGGGTTAACGTGGGGCTCCAGTCCACTGCATTGTCTCCCTACCCGTTCCTTGCCATACAGTCACCGTTTCCTTTCCCAGCTTGTTCTTCGAACATGTTATGCTTTGGGGGATTTATTCAGGCTGGTTCTTGTGGATCAGTGTTTCCCCAAAGGGGAGACAGCGGGTACCAAAGGGACTGGAAGAACCCAGGGGAGCGAGTAGCTTCGCATACAATCTGGGGGACACTTTGGACTTGCTCAAAGGCAGGCATGGGGTGGACAGCTAAGGGGCAATTCTTCTGAAGCAGAGGAATACTTAATTTGGAATCCTCTGTTGTGGGGATGCTGGGACAGAACCCCGGCCTCACCCTTGCAAGGCACATACTAATCCCAGGCTAGAGGGTGTCCCTGTCAATAGCTCCAGGCCAGTGTTTCTCAATCAGGGTCATACCTCCCCAAACTGCAGGCCCTAGGGTAATCCAAGGGGAACATGGGCGAGAATCATGTATACGGTGGGGGCACACAGCGTGAAACTAGGCAAACAGCCACGATGAGGTGGGCAGAGGAAGGAAAGCAGGTCTAGAATCTCTGTCTTGGCTGGTGCTGGGGTACGACTCACCCTGTCCAAGCTGAGTGCGTGCACAGGAGACTTGGCCTGTGTGATGTGAAGCAGATGCCTGTGACCCTCCCAGAGGGCTAAGGGACTGCCAGGGCAGCGGTGGCACCATCCCGACCACCCGGGGCACCATCCCACATCCTTCCCGACCAGGGCCTTGAATCGCTGTGCTGACTGGATACCTGCACTCCTGCTCTCTGGGCAAGGGCGGCTCAGACTGGCTCAGCAGGAAGTGGGTGCTCCAGCCTAGCTGCTGTACTTGGACCCGCATCTCCTCATGGGGTACTTGGCACACCCCTTGCCACGTCTCACTACACAGAAACACTCCTTTTGAATCAAGTCCCAGATCCTGTCTTCCTTTATGAATTCTACTTTTCTCAATTTGGGAGTGGGTTGGAGGGGGAGTCTGGGCCACACCTGGCCGAGCTCAGGGGCCACTGCAGTCTCCAAGCTAGTGGCTGATTCTGGCAGAGCTCAGGGATCACTGCAGGCTCCAGGCTAGGGGCTGATTCTGGCCGTGCTCAGGAAGGGCCATGTTGTGCCAGGGATTGAATTTTCCCTGAGCCACGAGCAGGAAAAGTGCCTTAACCCCTGAGCTGTCTCTCCGACGCTGTAATTTCCACTTTCCAAACCTTGACAGTTCTTCCTTCCCTCAATCACAAAATACCCACCCCCAACCCCATTTTAGTTTTTAGGGGTCTTCACTCCACCTATAATACATGATGTGAGGTGTATGATATGTGGTAGAAATTAAATTTTACCTCTTTTTCAGCACCAATTAAATTTCGTAGTAGTTTTTCCTTTTTCTGTTGGTTTACTACATTACCTTTCACAACTATGTAACCGTATTCCCTTATTTATTTAGAGCTATGTCTAGATCTCTACAATGGCATATAACCAGTCAGGGAAAAAATGAAACTAACTCAGAGACTAAAATCAAAGAACTTACATGGGAAATTGCTATGTCCCAATGCCAATTTAAAAAAGGATTCCGGTGGAGTTCATGCCCAATTCAATCAGCTAATCAGTGGCTGAATAAATAGTAGTACTCCTACATTAAAAAAAAATAATAATAAAATAAAAGGGATTCCGGGCCAGAGTGATAGGACAGCAGGTAGGGCACGTACTTGCCTTGTATGCGGCTGATTCAGTTCAATCCCTGGCACCATGCAGGGGCCCATGAATGATCCCTGAGCACCAGGAACAGCGACTGGGTGGGTGTCTTAATGTGGCTCACCTGGGTTCAATCCCTGGCATCCCATATGGTCCCCCAAGCCCCACCAGGAGTTGATTCCTGGGCTCAGTGCCAGGAGTAATCCCTGAGCATGCTGGGTGTAGCTGGGGGGAAAAATAGGATTCTACTTGATTATGAAAAATGACATGAGCACAAAAGATCATTAAGATAACTACAAAGAAAAAGAAAGGCCTAACGCAGTTTGTCAAGTTCCAATCCACCAACACACCGGCCCCTGCTGTTTCCCCCAGGCCGGGAGCACCCCCCCAAGTCTACAGAGCTCCACCTGCCCTCTGAGAACGTACCTGGAGTTTCGCTACTTCCTTCCTGATGAGGAAGCTGACTTGGTCCCTGTCACTCCTGGAGTAATAGAGACGGCACCACGAGGGCTGCCCGTCCCTGCCTGCCCGGCCCGACTCCTGGTAGTAACCAGCCATGGATTTGGCGATGTTCCAGTGGGCCACAAACCTGCAGGATGCAAGGGGAGACACAGTGTGAGAGGAGGTAGAAAGCTGATGGCAGGAAACACTGCGAGGGTTCCAACAGCAGGCCTCCCTGCCAAGGCCAGCCCAGGGACTAAGGAGGACAATTATGGCACATATGCGAAACCCAAACTAAAAAGAAACACACAGCTAGAGGCCAGGGGACAACTGAACTGGAAGACTAATAGTTTTGTCTTTTGATTAAAAAACCAACAGTTTTTGTTTGGGGGCCACAGCCTGCGATGCTCTGGGGTTACTCCTGACTCTGCATTCAGGGATCACTCCTGGTGGTGCTGCAGGCAGGGAACCCATGGGATGCTGAGAATCGAACCTGGGCTAGCAGCGCACAAAGCAAACACCCACCCTGCTATTCGAGCTCTTGAGCCCTGGACCTGGTACTTTCTGAGCCAGAGATATAGCACATAGAAGAGTGTTTGCCTTACATGTAAGCAAGCCAGGTTTGGTCCCTGGCACCCTACATGATCGCCTAAGCCCACCAGGAGTGATTCCTGAGTGCAGAGTCAGGAGTAACTCATGAACACTGCTGGGTGTGGCCTCAAATTACCCCCACAACCCCCTCCCCCGAATAAGTAAAGTAAAGTAAAGGCCCTCCCGTTGATCATCGATTTACTCGAGCGGGCCCAGTAATGTCTCCATTGGAGACTTTGTTGTTACTGTGTCTGGCATATCGAATATGTCACAGGGAGCTTGCCAGGCTCTGCTGTGCGGGCGAGATACTCTCGGTAGCTTGCCGGGCTCTCCGAGAGGGGCAGAGGAATCGAACTCGGGTCGGCCATGTTGGCTGCGTGCAAGGCAAACGCCCTACCGCTGTGCTATCGCTCCAGCCCCCCACCCCCCCCGAATAAAATAAAGCAAAAACTTTCAGGTCCAGGAGGCAGAGGACTCACTGGGCCAGAATGGGTCCACTGGGGGTGAGCCCCAGGTTTGATGCCTGGCTCTGTATGGTCCCCACTGACCCTGTGTGGTCTCTACTGCAGGGTTGGGAGATAGGGTCCCGTTGCCCCTTCTAGATGGTTCGGGTTGTTCAGCACCCAGGCCCTGGACCAAGCCCAGCAATGCTCAGGGCTACTCCCTGCTCTGTACTCGGGGTGAAGGACCGTGTTGCATTGGGTGAGAGCACAGGTCTCCCGCATGCAAGCCTATGCTCAGTCCTTTGGGTGTCTCTCTGGCTCCTATCCCTTCTCGACTGTCTGTGAGCAGTCCCAGGGGCTGATGGGAACAAGCCCTCTGACTGGAAGTGGTGTAGGATGGCTGCTTCATCCTCCTCGACAGAGCTGTCTGCTCAGATGCCCCTAAACTTGCTGGGGAAACTGAGCCTCGGGGACAGCCAGGAGCAGAGTGCAGCCTTGGGGCTCACCCACAGCCACTTTCTCCTCTGACGGAGGGTGCCCACACACTCCATCCCTGCCAAGAAGAGAAGATGGGGACCCCCAGCATACCTGACATTGGCTTTATCCACTCCCATCCCGAAGCTAATGGTGGCGACAATCACAGGGACCTTCTCCTCCATCCACTCATTCTGCACCAGCGTCCTTTCTGAAGCCTTCAACCCTGCAGAGGACAGAGAGGGGTGAAGAACTTGTTTCCATTGTGGGAGGTGTCTACTGGGGCTTGACACTGTGCTGGGTGCTGAACAACCCGAACCCCACCAAAGCCATCCCTCACCACTGCTGGACCCTGCGCCAGGTCTGTACCCTTGCTGGGGATAAGGCGGCTTCCACAGACCCAGCTGTGTGGGCATAGAGCATTTAGCAAGAGAGCCAGGACAGAAGACCTCCAAAGCCTGGGTTCATCCTAGACCAACAATACTCAAGCTAGGAAAGCCGCCTCTCTATTCCCAAGGTGAGAGCATGGATTCAGGAGTCACAAGCTCAGTTTAGACCTTGGTCTCATGAATTCCTTTCTTGTGGCTACTAAGGCGCTCACTTGAGCTCTGCCTGGGCATCTGGAACAAGATGGTGCGTTCTGAATATTTGGGAATCATCAGGGACACTAGCAGGATGGGAGAGAAGAGGGCCCGGGCACCACCTACCTGCATGGTATGCCTTGGCATTCACACCCCTGTAACTGAGCTCTATGGCCAGCTGTTCGCAGGCCTCTCGGGTTCGGCAGTAGACAATGCCACAGCCGGCCAACACCTGCGAGGGGAGAGACAGGAGAAAACCAGGGTTGAGAGCAAGAGAAGGTTCTATCTATGACGCCACTCTGCAACCCCAGCACCCGTCTCCTCCAAGGCAGAACACCCAGCAGGGCTGCCCCTTCCTGCAAAGCCTGACCAAAGCAGCTCAATACCCACCATAACTGAGCAGGGGCCCCTGCTCCCATGCCAGACACTTAGAGCAGAGGGGTGGGAGTGATAGCACAGCGGGTAGGGCATCTGCTTTGCATGCGGCCCACCCAGGTTCAATTCCCAGCATCCCATAGGGTCCCCTGAGCACCACTAGGAGTAATTCCTGAGTGCAGAGCCAGGAGTAACCCCTGTGCATCACCAGGTATGACCCCCCAAAACAAAAACCAAACACTTTGGACAGAGGCTTCCCATAGAATGAGTCTTAGACAAAGGGCCCTGAGAGGAACTGCAGTCAGGTGACCAATGGGACCTGCTTTAGGAGCCATGTCCCCACTCTTTCAAAGTTGAGCTGAGGTTGTGGAGAACCTCTAAGCTGCATTGCAGACAGCTTCTGCTGCAGCTTGGCCTTCTCTTCCCCCACAGAGCCCTCACCCCGTTATCAGCCTTCTTCCCAAGAGCCTTCAGGCAGAAGTCCCTGAGGTTTGCGTAGGGGTCAGAAAGCAGCTCCTTGAACTGCACATCATAGAAGAGGTTGGCTCGGAAGCAGGGGGTCTTGAAGGTGGCGGCGGGTTGCTTCAGGCGCAGGGTGGCAAACACATCCTCCTGGACCTGTGGCGTGGCCGTGGCCGTCAGAGCCACACATGGAGTCTGGGCGAGGCGGGTGCGCAGGGCACCCAGACGCAGGTAGTCGGGCCGGAAGTCATGGCCCCACTGGGAAACACAGTGAGCTTCGTCCACCACCAGGTAGGAGAGCAGGTGGCGGGACAGTAGGGAGTTGAGGGTGGGCTGGAAGGAGGCCGAAGCCGCCATCTCTGGCGTGATGTACAGAAGTTTGGTGCGGGGCTGATCGCGCTCCAGGTCGGAGAGCAGCTCCTTCTTCTCCTGGGCTGAGAGCTTGGAGTTCAGAGAGCTCACGCACACCTTCAGGGCCAGCAGGTGGTCCACTTGGTCCTGCCAGCAGAGGGCAAGAGACCACGGAAGGAGAACTGTGACTCCCTGAGGTGCTTCAGAAAACACCCTGGTCTTCCTTTAAGGCCTTCCCTTGGCCAAGCAAGAATGGAGGGAGGACGGGAGGGTGGAAGAGAGGAAGGGAGGAGGGAGAAGACGGAAAGGCTAGCTCTTAGGGCAGATCTGCATTCTACTGTCTAAGTTTTTCAGTGTTTGGGTCACACTTGGCTTGATGCTCTGGGCCCATGTGATAACCAGGGATGGAACCCAGGGTTCACACACACAGAGCCTATGCTCTGGTCTTTTGAGTCACATCCCTGACTCAATTTTATTGTCTTTATCTTTGTTGTTTTTATTTGGGAGCCAAACTAAGAACTCAGGGCTTACTGCTGGCCCTGCATTTAGGGATCACCCCTGGCAAGGTTTAGGGGACCTTATGTGGTGCTGGGGATGGAACTCGAGTTGGCTGTGTGTGAGTGCTTTACCCACTGGACTGTTTCTTGGGCCCTGTTATTGCAGGCTCATTCCTGGTGTTTGGGGGGCCACTAGGGCTACACCCTGAGTAGTTATCCGGAGCCATACTGTTCTGGGGGTTGAAACTGTTGAGTTCTACCACTTGAGCCACATCCCTGGCCCTCAGGCCTGTATTTAATCCCAGTTCACCTAACTGCCACATACTCTGACTAGTTAACTTTTCCATTTTTTCTCTTACTCTTCCCCCCTGTAAAAATACTCACTACAGGTAGGATTGTTACAAGAATTAGGGGCTGGAGAGATGGCACAGTGGGCAGGGCACTTGTCTCGTACACAGCTAACCTGAGTTCAATCCCTGGCACCTCATGTGGTCCCGAGAGCACCCCCAGGACAGATGCTTTGTCTTGTTTTGGGGAGACCTTTAGCAATGTTCAGGGGTCACTCCTGGCACTGCTCAGGGGACCATATGGATTGCTGGGGATCGAACCTGGGTCAGCTGTGTGCAAGACAAACACCCTATGCACTGTACTACTGTTCCGGCCCCCAGGAGAGATTCTTGAGTGCACAGTCAGGAGTAAGCCTTGGGCACCACCAGGTGTAGTCCCCATTAACAAAAAAGAGATACAACTTTAACCCTCAAAGTTGGCATTAATGCATATAAAGCCCCAGATAGAGTGACAATTCCCTAGGCCTTGTTCTCCTTGGAATGAGGATGATGCCACTGAACTGCCTGGTACACCTCCTTAGTTCTGATGCTAGCAGCCCACATGAAGCCTCAGTATAGTTAAGTATTGAGCAGGAGCTGACACTAACCCACCTAGTTCTTTATCTTTATTTGCTATCTCATATCCCCACCCTCCCGAGAATAAATCAGAGTATTGGGGATTCCCCGAATCAATTTGGCTCTCCCCATCCATGGCTTCCATTCCATTAAGAATAAAGTTGGGGGAGGGGGGAAGAGGCCGGTGCGAGTACAACAGGGAGGGCATTTGCCTTGTACACGGCAAACCCGGGTTTGATCCCCAGCATTCCATATGGTTTCCCCAGCACTGCCAGGAGAAATTCCTGAGTGCAGAGCCAAGAGTAGCCCCTGAGCATCACTGGGTGTGACCCAAAAAGAAAAAAAAAGAATAAAGTGTGGGGGGCCAGAGTGATGTACAGAAGGTTGGACATTTGCCTTGCACGTGGTCGACCAGGGTTTGATCCCTGGTACCCAATATGGTCCCCTGAGCATCGCCAGTAGTGATTTCTGAGTAGAGCCAGAACTAACCCCTGAGCATCACTGGATATGACCCCCCCACCACCCAAAAAATAAATAAACAAACAAACCCAGAATGAAGTGTGTTGGGTCCAGAGAGTATAGCAGTTAAGACACATGCCTTACATGCAGCTGACCTGGATTTAATCTCTGGAACCCACATGGTTCCCTGAACACTGCCAGGAGTGATCCCTCAGTGCAGAGTTAGGAGTAAGAATAAAGGGGAAGGTGGGGTGGAGTGATAGTACAGCAAGTAGGGCATTTGCCTTGCATGCGGCCAACCCAGGTTTGATTCCCAGCATCCCATATGGTCTCCCCAGCACCGCCAGGGAAATTTCTGAGTCCTGAGCACTGCCGGGTGTGACCCCCAAACGAAACAAAACAGAATGTTGTGTGTCTGGGTGTGCAAGTGGCACACAAGAGCATGTATAAGAGTCTACAGATGTAGTTTCACATCCCTCTGGACAAAAAGGAACTGAGGTGGGTGAGAGGTCTGGGCCATTACGGTCCTAGGACTCACTCATGACCTGCCCTAGTGACACACGCCTGGGCAGAGAAGCCCACCTTTGGTAAATTCAGAGACCTAAGGAGGGAGATAGGCAGATCAAAGGGAAAGGAGAAACACAATTACAGTAGAAGTGACAGTTCAGTGATTAAAGAAAATCACCCCCATCTTTGGGGCTCTGAGCCTCACCTGAATCAAAGCAATGAGAGGCGAGACCACAAGGGTGATGCCTTTGGCCAGCAGGGCAGGAAGCTGATAGCACAGGGACTTGCCTGCGCCTGTAGGCATGCACACAAAGACGTCCTTGTCACCTGGAAAATGACAAACACAATGCTTCCCTGAGCTCTGCGCAATGCCCTCCCTCAAGGCTGCGGCAGTGGGAGAACTCAGGAGATTTCAGCCCCTTGCCATGTCAGGCCCACGGGAGCTCTCAGCGGGATAGGAATTCCCCTTGCAGGCTTCCGAGGGAAAGAGCAAGCCTCCAGAAGGAACACAGAATGGGCACGAGCCTTCTCTGGGAAGGACAAGAATGACTACAAGGTTGGGAAGTTAGAATTGTAACTGCCACTCTTCTATGACAATACTGTAAACCACAGTGCCTAAAGAAGAAACAAATGAGGGCTGAAGTGTCCAGGGGTCCTGATGCTTGTCTCCCACGCTGAAGCCTCAGTTCCTTCCCTGGCACTTCCATCTCCTGAGCACCACTGTGCTCAGAGTAGACCCTGAGCACTCCCAAGACTGGACCCAAAACCAGAGAAATACAATTAAAGAGAAGTCTGAGTTGATGGGCACCTAGATCTAGATAATGGAACAACAGTCAGAAAAACTGATTTACTTTTTTTTTTTTTTTGGTAACAGAAAAATGTGAGAGGCCAGAAAGAGGGAAAATATGTTCAAGGGAGAACACAGACAGAAAAGAAGCAGACAAACAAGTGACATGTGTTCACGGGACAACATGGGCTTGAATAGCAAGCCGGAAAACTGATTCACTCGTCAGGGGGAGAGAGGTTAAGGAGGTCTCTCCACTTTAAATAGCGTGGCCGACACAACACGGGCCACTCCTTTCTCTTTTTTGGTTTCTGGGTCACACGTGGTGGTGCTCAAGGATCATTCCCGGCTGGATTCCGGGATCCTATGACGCGCTGAGGATCAAACCTGAGTTGAACCCGTGTGCGAGGCAAAATGCCTTCCAGACCGTACATCTACAGTGCCTGGCTATTTGTTTCATGAAAATTTGTTTGTTTTGAGGGGGTCGGGGGTAATGTTCAGGATTTGCTCCTGGCTCTGCCTCAGGAATCACTCCTGCCAGTGCTCCGCCCGTGGAACGCCCGCGGAGGATTCAACCTGGGAGGGCCGGCTGCGAGGCCAACGCCCTGCCCTCTGCGCTCCAGCCCCATTTCTCGACCAGTTCCACTTGCCACCATGTCGGGTCTGTGTGACTGCAGCTCCTTTCCGTATTCGGGACCAAACTTGCCCCTCTTCGCCAAGGGGACTCCCCGCGGTCGGGGGGGAGGGGGCGCGCCTGCGGACGCTCAGTCCAGCGAGACGGGCACCCTCAGCCCGTGCTCGGGGCCCCCCAGCTCTGCCTGAGGAACATCAGGAGCAGAACCCTGAAGCGGGCCCTTCCAGACGGTGAGGGGGGAGGCGGGCGGGAAGGAGGGCGCAGCCCCGTTACCTTTCACCACCGCCATGGTCGCCTGCTCCTGCAGAGGCGTCTTAAACGCCTCGAACCCAAAGACTTTCTTCAGCGTGCTCCGGACTCGCCGCTCGCGGTCGGGCGGCGCGGCGCGGCGGGCGCTCATGGCCGCGCGTCCCGCCCCCCGAGGCGCAGGGCGAGGCGGCGCGGGTGGTCGGTCATGGGCGCTCCCCGGGCCGTCAGCAGCCGCCCCGCGTGTCTCCGGCGCCAGCGGCTTCCCGAGACGCCTCCCGATGCATCGCTCGGCCCCGCGGGACTGGCCGCCGCGCCGGCCGCTCGGCTCCCCGCAGCCCGGACGCCCCCACTCGCTTCCCCGACGCGCTCTCCCCTGTCCCTGCCGAGCCCCCGACTCGCTCTTCCCGCCACCCCCAGCCCAAGCCTCTCTGTCTCTTCACTCCCGACACCACAGCCGGCCCCGGGCCGCCCAGAAGTGTGGGGCTCCGGCCGGGCGGCGGCGTCCCCGGCGCGACCCTCCACTCTGAGTAGCCGAGCGCTCGGGGATTCCCTGTCAGCGCCCGCCGACGCGGCCGGTCCCGTCGCGCGGGAATGACGTCACGCGCGCGCGGGGCGCGGCGACCCGGGCAGCTCCCGCCCCTGATTGGTCCGCGCGCGCGCGCGGGGGCTTCTGGGACCCGGAAGAAGGGGCGCCTCTCGGCGCGGAAGTCGGCTCCGGAGAGTCATCGGCGTGAGCCCGCCGGCGAGCGGGAAGATGGCGGGGAAGAAGAATGTTCTTTCGTCGCTGGCAGTTTACGCGGAAGATTCAGAGCCCGAGTCCGACGGCGAGGCGGGAGTGGAGACGGCGGGAAGTGCGACTGGTGAGGCTCGGGTGGGGAGCCGGTGGGGGCGGCGCGGGTTTCTGCCGGGCACGCCGCGCGTCGCGAGGGGCGGGAGGGACGCGGAGGTTCCTGGAGCCCCCCCCCCGGGGCGGGAGCCGCGGCGCCGACGCGGCCCCCGGCCCTGCACGTAGTAGGCGCTTTGCAGGCAGGGTGGGCCGACCCCTGCCGCGGTTTCGATGGTTCTGCCGCAACGTTTCGGAAGTCTCGGTGCTGGGCCGAGGGGGCGTGAGGGGCTGCCCGCTCGGTGGGGCCGCGATGAGAAAAACCCACCTGGCGCGGGGGAAAGGTGGTACCTTGTTAGGTTTGTGGCTTTCATTTATTTTGCGTGTTTTTCTCTATGGTCCATACCTGGCCGTGCTCATTACTTACACCTGGCTCTGTGTTCCGGCCTCACTCCGGGCGGGATTGTTGTTGTTTCTGTTTTGGAGCCACACGCGGAGATGCTCCGAGCTAGCTCCTGGTTCTGCACTCGCGAACTACTCCCGGTGCTCGGGGATCTTAGAGGATGCCGGGGACCCGGTCAGCCATTTGCAAGTACCTACTGTACTCTAGCTCCTGGCTCTTAGATTTGTAGCTTTTAGTTAGAAATATGCCTTGAACTCTTCTTGAACCTTTGAAGAATGCACATGGGCCAGTCTTCTCTGCGAAAGAATCTAGATCTGTAGATCTGGGGTAGAGTCTGGTTCTGTTGGGGGAGAGAGCTTGGGCCACACCTTGCAGTGCTTAGGATCAACTACTCCTGGCTCTGTGCTCAGATGTCATTCCTGGGTTATGTATGGTGCTGGCGGTCGCTGTGTGCAAGGCATGTACTCTATCTCCAACCAGATCTGGTATTTTGTGAACCTTTTGAGCCTCCGCCGTGACTCGACTTACTTGTGAGTCTGTCCAGCCTCTGGGCTGATGATGTTGCCCTTGTCAACTTCAGTTTCAGTGCCCAGACTTGGAAACAGGTTTCTTTCGGAGCAGAGAGATGCAGCAAGTTGCAGGTTAGCTTTCTATGTGTCCGGGCCTCAGTTTCCCTGTCTGGAGAGGAACTGTGGGAAGGTGGCACTAGGCTATTTTGTTTGTTTTCGGGGGTTTCTCCCCACAGGAGAGCCTCTGTTGTGTTTGTGTTAAATCTCTCAGATGTCTGTGAGGTAGGTGTGATGGGGAACCCCCAAGGGGCCTAGTTTTCAGATCCTGTTTCCAGTGGGAGAACCCACGGGGGCGGGGTGGGCAGGCAGGGCGGGGGCAGTTCTGGGCATGTCACAGGAGAGAGGTTCTTTAGTAGCTGTGACTGAAGGAGATGTGTACATCGCGAAAGAGAGGAAGTACAGCCGAAGTACAGCCGGTCTTGAACGTGGCCAACCCAGGTTCAATCCCTGGAACCCCGTAGGGTCCCTCATGCACCATCAGGAGTGACCACTGAATACAGAGCCAGGAGTAAGCCCAGAGCACTGCTGGCCAAAACAAAAAGAGGTGTTCAGGGGACCAGGTAGTTAGGCAGATGCCCTAATGCCCTTCATGGTCTTCTGAGTACTGCTGGGTGTGACTCCGGAGCCCCCAGCACCCATAAGCTGGCCCTGGTAGCCCCCCACAGCTCAGGCCCAGACCATGCATTGAGCCACCAGCCTGACTGGCCAAGAATTGCCAGTGGTGCCCCTGCGCTGCCTGAACACAGTTGGGGAGTGTGCCCCCCCCCCAAAAAAAAAGAGAGAGAGAGAGAGAGAGAGAGAAGTGTTCATACAACTGCTGTGATGGTTGGATAAAGGAAGATGTCAGACGCCATCATGGGCAACCCCCGAGCTTAGGTCTCCTTCCACGGGGATGGCGTGTGTTATAATCCTGGTTTTCCCTTGCTTTCAGAGGAGAAGGGCGGGTTGGTGTCTGAAGCCTATGGTGAGGATGACTTTTCTCGTCTCGGGGGCGATGAAGAAGGTTATGAAGAAGAGGAGGATGAGAACAGCAAGCAGTCAGTAAGTAAACCTGGCCCCAGGCAGAGGCCCTTGAAGCCCCTTGGGTTTCTCCCAGGACTGCACTGTATTCCCTCTCCTGGAAGGCTTTCTCTCACCTGCCCTCTCTCCTTCCTATCTTCCTTCCTATACATTTTTAGTGACAATAATTACTTATTCTAATAGTACATATAGTAATTGCTTTAAAAATACAATTCCTTTTATCTTTTAAAAATATTTTGTTTTGGGGCTGGAGAGATAGCACAGCGGGTAGGGCGTTTGCCGTGCACGCGGCCAACCCGGGTTCGATTCCTAGCGTCCCATATGGTCCCTTGAGCACCACCAGGAGTAACTTCTGAGTGCAGAGCCAGGAGTAACCCCTGTGCATTGCCGGGTGTGACCCAAAAAGCAAAAAAAAAAAAAAAAAATACATATATATATATATGGTTCTGTGTTTATTATGCATATTCCGTAAATAGCCTCGCTCTCTGCCCAGCGGTGCTCAGGGCCCATGTGGTGCCAGGCAAGTGCTCTCAGCCCTGTGCTGTGTCTCTTTGACTACCGGAAAGAGGCTTTTTAAATACCAAGAAAGATTTCAGATACACCATTACCTGGGCCTTGTTAGCCAGAATCCTAAAGTATCGGGACCAGAGAGACGGTACAGCAGGGAGGGCACTCGCCTCATGCGGCCCATCCGGGTTTGATCTCTAGCACCCCATATGACGCCCCAAGCCCCACCAGGAGTGATCCTTCAACCCCCAGCCAGGGGTGAGACTTGAGCACTGCCAGGGGTGACCCAAAAACCTAAGAAAAAGAAAAAAGAGACAGAACTTTAGTTTCGGTTTTCTTGGTCCTGGAGAGGCAGGAAAGCCAGGCACGTGACCGGTGCTCAGCATGCGCGGAGCCAGTGTGGGTGCTGACTGGTCAGCGCAGACGTCCCGCTGAGCCTCATTTGTCTGTGAGGTTCCTCCTATGCAGTGACTGCAGGGTTGGTATTAACGGGCTTTCCAAATTAAACACGTGGGGCCCAGGCGACAGCTCAGGGGAGAGGGTGTCAGCCTCGCTTGTGGCAGACCTGGTTTGATCCCTGGCACCACGTAGCGTCCCCTCCCTACCACCACCACCCCCCCTCCCACCGCCACTGCCAACCGTGGCCACAAAACAGAAAAATCATTAACAGTATGTTGGGGGTTCTGTGTGTTTTTTTTTAAATGCTCTTTGGGGGACCTCATAGTCTAGTTCTCCTTCTTGGAGAACCCGGCAAGCTCCCGAGAGTCTCCTGTCCGCTTGGCGAAGCCTGGCAAGCTCCCGTGGCATATTTAATATGCCAAAAACAAACAATGATGTGTCTCATTCCCCTGACCCTGAAAGAACCTCCAAAGCAGGCACCAAGTAAGGAGAGGCTGCTAAAATCTCAGGGCTGGGACAAATGGAGACATTACTGGTGCCCTCTTGAGCAAATCGGTGAATAACGGGATGATAGTGATACAGTGATACAGCTCTTTGGGGGGTTATTTTCATGTCCTTAGCCCCACCACTGTTGCTGATAACCCAGAATTGACTGGATTTTGTTTAGAAAAGCTTTGCAAATTTTCCTTTCCTGTCTTTGGGGGTTTTTTTGTTGTTTTGTTTTCTGAGGCACTGAGGGAAGCATCCTGGGCTATCAAACCCAGGCCTCCTGGGCTGGAGCAATAGCACAGCGGGTAGGGCGTTTGTCTTGCAGGCAGACAACCCAGGTTCGAATCCCATCATCCCATATGGTCCCCTGACCCAGGAGTAACCCCTGAGCATCACCGGGTGTGATCCAAAAAGGAAAGGAGAAAAAAAAAAAAAAGGTCTCCTGTATGGGAACCATGTGCTCTAGTAGCCCTTTGACCTGTGTCGCCCTCTTGTGACTTTAAATCATACCTACTGGTTTATGTTAATCTACAAGTGTTGGTTTTTTTGTTGTTGTTGTTTCTTTTTTGGAGATAAATTTGGATGGTGTGTGGATTGGAGCTTTTGTTTGTTTACTTACTTTGGGTTTGTCGCCATACCCATCCATGCATGGGGACTGTTCCCAGCTGTGCACCCAGTGCTCACTCCTGGTGGTGTTCCCGATGCATGCATAGAAACGGAATCAGCCTCCTGCATGCAAAACCTGTGCTCCAGCCAGGATGTGTGTTGGTCCACATTTGCTTTGCAAAGAGCTTGCATTATCCATCCTGCTGGCAAGTTCTCTCCTTGAATTCTAATATAGATAACCAAATAATGTGTATTTGTTTGACTGGATTGGCGAGATTGGTTTTTGTTGTTGTTTTGTTTGGGGGCCACACCTGGCTGTGCTTAGGGCTTCCTCCTGGCTCTGTGCTTAGGGATCATGCCTGGTGGGCCTTGGGGCACCATAGGGGGTGGCAGGGATGGAAGCCTGTTTGGGCATGTGCAAGGCAAGTGCCCTGCTTGCTGAATGATCTCCAGCCCCACTCGAAGGAGACTTGGGGACTCTTGCTTAAAACTTCGGCTGCTGGCACCCCCTGCTTGGTTAACCTCCAGCACTTCATTCCGGTGCTCTAGACCCTGGTCTTTGTCTCAGTTGCCCATGCCCAGTGTCTTCCCCAGCGACGTTCCTACCCTCTGGTTCCGGTTCGTACTGGGTGAAGGTGAAGCTTGGTTGAAAACAGTTTCAGCTCAGAAAGCGAGCACAAGGTTAAGGCGTGCGCTTTGCATGAGGCTGACACTGTTTGTTCAATCCCTGGGCATCAGCCCACCATAATTCCTGAGCACAAAAACGGGACTAAGCCCCAAGAACCACCTGGAAAGGCCCCCCAAAAAGAGAACAATTTGGGCCTGCAGGAAAGTGCAGAGGTTCGGGGACCTGCCTTGCAGCGTCCCAAGTTAGTCTCTGGTCCCCACATTTGGTCCCTGAGCACCGCCAGCTGTGGCACTCCAGAGAGAAAGCTGTTTGAGACCTCTCTCCCCCTCCGTGGACAACTGGGCTCCTGCGGGGGGGGGGGGGGGGGGGGGAGGAGGCTGTATGGGGCAGGGTCAGCTCTCAGGCCCCCTGGGCATGTCTGCCTTCCGGTATCACACGCCACACCCCTTCCTGCTGCTCATGGGGTGGGGGGGCTTGTGCACATGGCCTGGTAGTCTTTTGAGGGGGTGGTGGTCAAAACAAAGAAGAAGCTGATTCTAGTCCTGCTTCTGGTTTGGGTTGGCGCCATTTAGTAATCGACTGGGAAGTACTGTGATGGACTCACCATAACAAGCTGTTCCTCCCCTCCCCTCTGATTTGGGAGCTATACCCGGCTTTCTCCTGGTAGGGCTTGGGGGACCTTGGGGTGCCAGGGATGGAACCCAAGCAGGCTGCGTACAAGGCAGGCATCTTTCCCTCTGTCTTCCAGCCCAGCTTGTGCCTCTCTGTCCTGTGGGCTTTGCATTATTCCGTTCTCGGGCCTTGTCACTGGTGCACGTTTTGGCTTTCTAAGCCTGAGCTTAGTGGCCTTCTGTTCTTTCCTGCACCCCGTCCCCTTCCCCCCTCTTTGGTTCTGGCCCCTGTGGTTGGGAGGGGATAGGGTGAGGGAGGACCCCTTTGCTCCAGCTTCTAGTTTTGTATGGGAGCACCTCCTCCCTGAAGCTTAATCCTCTCCATTCTTTGTCTTTGTAGGAAGATGAAGATTCAGAGAGTGAAAAGCCTGAGGCCGATGACCCGGAGGTACTTGGTGTTAGCTGTGGTGGGATGGCTGGGGGCAAAGCGGGGAGCATCTGGGAACTGCTGAACTGGGATCCCATTGGCTTACTGCTTGATCACTGTTGGGGGCCTCACTAGGGACCCTCCAGGGCTAGAGATCCAGTCCTGGGCTCCTGGATGAAAAGCCCCTTCGAATCATCCCCAACCCAGTACCAACTTGACAGAAAGAGCCCAGCTGGGCCCAGGGGGAGGAAGGCCGGAGCAGCTTGCCTTGCAAGCCCTCCGAGTGTGCGGGGGCACAGGAGGGCAGGTGCCTCGGTGTCCCGGAAGAGGCCGGCGTCTTGGCACGGCAGGGCCTGCCTATGCTGCTTCCTGCTGGCCTGATGGCTCTCTGCCCTCCATGTGGGCAGCTGTGGGGGAGTCTGAGGAGTCTCTTATGTCCTCTGGCTTCTCAGAACACTGGGCCCATCAGGCCCCCACCATGGCATGCATTGCCTTGCACATGTGAGATCCTGGGTTCTATCCCGGGTTCATAAACAGAAAAAATTAGCAAGGTGACTTCGTAGAATTTCAGCAAATTGGGCTGTAGTGATAGCACAGCGGGGAGGGCATTTGCCTTGCACGCAGCAAAACCAGGTTCGATTCCGAGCATCCCATATGGTCCCCTGTGCATCGCTGGATCGCGGGTGTCACCCAAAAGGGGCGGGGGGAGAATTTCAGCAAATTCCCCCAATGACAATGTGAAGCCCTGGTGTGTCCCCAAAACAAATGGAGCAGCTGAGTGTTGGAGATAACTGGGTCGGTGGAGCCCGGAGTGAGGCGAGTGGGATGTTTCCAGCAGATTCCTCAGGTGCCAGCCCAAAGAGAAAGGGGAGATGCACAGGCATGGGCGTGTCTGCCCCAGGGAAGGGCTGCTGTGTGCTGGGCCAAGGACAGTCACTCTGCAGTCACTCTGTGTGGACGCCAGAAAGGAAATGTTCCTGAATCTTTAGGCCTGTTCATTAGGTGTTGACTTTGGTTTTTGTGTTTATTTATTTTGGGGTGCCCAGGTCAAACCCCAGCATTACACGTGCAAAGCATGTGCTTTACTGTGGAATTGTGCCCCAGCCCCTGAGTGGTGCGTACAGTTGGTTGTCCTCTCCTGCCCTCCTGTTTGCGGGGTGTGGGCATTGGGGTCTCTGTGTAGAGGTTGCCCTGGGGCTGTGTGTGCACTGCTGGCCTTTGGGGAGCCAGGGACATCCTTCCCGACCCTGAAAGTGGCTGGCACGCAGGACACATATTTCTAGAATGCACAGTCCAAACCTCACGTCCCCTGGGGGATCATGAGATGGGAAGGACCCCTGAGAAACTGGGGGGTAAGGTGAGGGGGCACGCAGAGCTGGAAGGAGGTGTCTGCTGTGCCCAGCCGCTCGGAGGGAAAGAACCCTACTGACCCTGCCGGGAAGGATACTGAATGGGCAGCGCCATGACTGCCTCGCCCACTAGGTGGCACTCCAGCCTACCTCAGCTTTGTAAGAATGCTTTTTTGTTTTGTTGGTTTTGGTTTTGGTTTTTGGGTTTACCAGCCCGAGCTGAGGGCTCAGCTCTGGCTCTGCACTCAGGAATTACTCCTGTCAGTCCTCGGGGGACCCTATGGGATGCCGGGTATCGAACCCGGGTTGGCCACCTTACCTGCTGTACTATTGCTTAGGCCGCCTATCCCCCCCCCCTTTTTTTTAAATTCTCTTTTGAGCTGTTGTTTATTTTCCCTCTTAGAAGTTAAACAGAGAACTGCAAATATTGCTCCTTTGGGAGTACAGGCCCTGTCCTTCCCTGTCAAGTGAGTTCGTGTGGAGACGTGGCTTCTGGCCAGTGTGCGTGAGGTCCTGGCTCCCACCTCTGGCTTCTTCCCCCTCAGAGAAAACCGAAAGTCACTTGGTTTGGTTTGCTTTGGGTTTTGCTTGCTTGGTTTGATTTGGGGCCACACCTGGCAATGTTCAGGGTTCAGTCCTGGCTCTGCACTCAGCTGTCCTGGCATGACAGGACAGCTCAGAAGTGGGGGCGGGGTACTCAGGGAACCATGTGGGGTGTCACGGACTGAACCCAGGGTGACAATGTGCATGGCAAGCGCCCTGCCGAGTGTTACTATCTCTCTGGCCCCATAAATCACGTTTTTATGAGAAATAATAATGAACGCCCTCTCTGCCCAAAAGTGCTAAGAGTAGTGTGGTTTTAATTCTTTATTGAGGGGGCCCACCCAACAGTGCTCAGGGTTTATTCCTGACTCTGCACTCAGAACTTACTCCTGGTGGAGTTTGGGGGACCATACTGGATGCTGGGGATCAAACCCAGTTTAGCCGCATGCAAGGCAAACGTCCTATTCTCTGTGCTATGACTCCAGCTCCTATTTAAAGTTTTTTGTTTGTTTTGTATTTCTGCAAGTGTTCAGGGGCTGCTGGGAGCCCTGGTGCAGGGTCGGGGGCACCCGCTCAGCCTATGGGTGATGTCGGAGGAGCTTGGTACTGGCTCTGTTGCTGCTCTGAGTGTCAGGGAGAGCCTTGAGCTGCGTTGGGGGTCGTCCTGACTCCAGAAGAGGGGCAGCCCAGCTGGGGGCAGTTGGAAGCCCTGGAGCAACCCGGGATTTTATGGAAGGAACCCTGGCCCTCGGCGCTTCTCTGCAGAGGAGACGTCCTATAAACTACACCCCGCTTCCTGGAGGGGGGCAGGGGTGCCACTCGTTTCCACACGGCTCCTCGCCATCAACCTGGTGGAAGTGGGGCCTGTCCCCCTCCCACCAAGAGCTTTAGGGAACCTCTGCAGGCGACGGGGTTGGTGGGGGGTTGGTCCTGGGCCAAGGGGCCTTGGGGGTCTGCACTGCAGGAGGGACACACATGGGTGCTGTATCTGAGGTCACCCTGACTCTTACCTGAAATTTGGGGTTGCTTGTAAAAGCCACGGTCTGAATGAGAAAGGGTGACCCCAGGGGGCTTGGAGATAGTTCAGAGGCCTAGCACAGAGGTGCGAGGTGGGGTTTGTTCGCAGCACCACTCAAACACCCACCAGGAACGACCCCCGAACTCAGGGAGTAGCCCCTGAGCATTGCCCAGGGTGGTCCAGAAACCAGAGAAAGGCAGGACCGAGCCCGGTCTTTGTGAGCACTCTTGGTTCCTGACTCTTGGTCCAACACGGCTGTGCACTAGCTGGGGGGCGGGACAGTGTTCTCGCAGGGGTGAGTGACAGCCACCGGGAGGCGCCACTGCTGTCCTATGCCCACCCTGCCCGTGTCTCAGTCTCTTCCTCCATCTAGTGGCGCCTGGCATCGGGGCTGCCCTCGGGGCCACTCTCCTTTGTCTACCTCTTACCTCGGTTGCCCCGGACCGTTTTCCCCCGACCGTTTTCCGTGTTAAAACAAACACGGAAGGAGCTCCGCGCTCCTGCAGTTCCTGTGGACGAAGGTATTTCCACTCGCCGTCCCCGCCACACCCTGCCCCGGGAGAGTGAATCAGGCCCCAGAGCCCGGCTTCCACCCCAGGAAAGAATCCCAGCCCGAGCAAACAGGCATCTGTCAAAACAAAGCAGGGTCTCAGGGTCACCTTGGGGGCGTGGGAGATCCAGAATTTTTTTATTTTTTTAGTTTTAGTTTTTGTGTCACACCCCTTGTGCTGGGGCTGGACAGGGGCTGCACTCCCAGCTTTGTGCCTAGAGAGTCTCTCCCGATGGTGCCTGGAGTAAAGGCAGGTGTCCAAGATGCACCAGCCCTTCTAGCGCCCTCTCCGGCCCCTTCAACATTCTTCTCACGGGCGTGCGTGACCCCAGCTCAGTGCAAGAAGGCATGTGTGAGATTTTGGGGGTTTGGTTTTGTTTCTGGGCCACACCCAACGGTGCTCAGGGATCACTCCCGGCAGGGTTTAGGGGACCCTGCGCGATGCCAGAGATCGAACCTGGGCGGACCATGGGCAAGGCAAGTGCCCAACCCACTGTTCCATCTCTCTGGCCCCGTGTGAGTCTCTGAGCTCCAGAAACATAAAGTCCCCCGGCACCTGCGCCCAGACTCAGGGTGCAGCGCTTGACCCCTCCGCGGCAGGCCCTGTGCACTTCACCACACGGGGGACTGGGACCATGAGGGCAGGGACATATCCGGGACCTTTCCCCTTCCTGCAGGCCAGAGGCAGCCCTGGCTGTCCATCCCACCGACAGGGCTGCCCCGGCTCCTCACCCCTCGGCGTCTCTGGAATGTTTGGCTGCACTCCGGCGGGAGTGTTCGGGCCGGAAGGAGGCAGCTGCACACAGTGACCCTCGCTGTCCGCCCACCTCTCAGCCGCTGGGAAAAGTCCCACCCATGAGCATGTGTGGTCCGGCCTGGGTCCCGGGGTCTGGGGAGCAGTTTCCAGTGCCAGAGTGGTGCCCTGGGATGGCTCCACAGCACTGCTGCCTCCTGGGTGCCCAAGGGGGCATTTGCATAGGGCAGAGCTGCTCGAGTCATTCTGTTGCTTTCTCCAGCCCTTTGCCCCCTGTGTTTATTAGCTGTCTTAATAGGGGCTCCTCCTGGCAGTGCTCTGGGGCCATGCAGTACCAGGGATCACTCGGATCTTCTGCCTGCAAATTTATGTGCATTTCCTGCATCTCTCTGGCCCTGTTACTGGTCTTCTATTTATATGATTCATTTACTTATTGCGGGAGGAGGGGGGTACCCAACACCCAGCTGTACTCAGGGCTTGCTCCTGGCTCTGCACTTAGGAATCATCTCTGATGGGCTCTGGGGACCATCCCAGGGATCAAACCAGGCTGGGGATCAGATCCAGGCCAGCTGTGTCAAAGCAAGCACCCTACGCGCTGTACTACCTCCCCAGCTCCTGGTTTTTTTAGACTTATCATTACTATTATTTTGGTTCTCGGGCCACATCTAGCAGTGCTCAGGACTGACTGACTTACTCCTGGCTCTCTATTCAGGGATCACTCTTGTAAGGCTTTGGGAACCATACAGGGTGCCAAGAATTGAACCCGAGTCAGCTGCATGTAAGACAAGTTCCCTAACTGCTGTACTG